CGTACTATTAGGATCTATTATTAGGATCTATTAGGATCGTACTATTAGGATCTATTATTAGGATCTATTAGGATCGTACTATTAGGATCGTACTATTAGGATCTATTATTAGGATCTATTAGGATCGTACTATTGAGATCGTACTATTAGGTAAATGCATAAGAAGGGCGAATCATTTTCATAAATTTCTAACGATAGAAATCTAATATCGATGAATGTTATAAACTATTTGAAAGTTGTAAATCTCCTCCAAAAAGTAGGCTAAAGCGCAACAGGGTTATTCTTTAGAAAAGGAGTAATGAGATCGGTATTTAGGAAAAGGAAAGGCTTTAGAAAACTATCAAGAAAGTACTATAAGAAGATAAACTGGATATTTTGAAGTTATTCAAAAGATTTACTTACAATTAGGTAAACAGTTATCATTACCGTACTGTCTAACAATATTTGAATATATGTCATTGTCATTGTCAACAGCACTGTCATTTCTAACACTCAAGTCTTGTCCCTACAATAGTAGATGAAAGATTTAAGCGTGCTTTTGCCCAAGAACTTTCAAGATATTCAGATTTTTTGATTGAGTACTTTGCGGTCCGAGATACTGCAGTGAAATAGAGCATTTGACTTTCAATACAAGCCAACAGTGAAATTACACAGTGCTATATCTTAAAACTTGAAACAAACAGAATATAATTTATTCACACAAATGTGGTACAAACAATACAGAAGCCCTAAATTTAAAAAAACCATAAAAAAGAACCAATGAGGTAGCCACCGGGATTGAACCCGTAACCTCCCGACTCAGATACAAGACCCTTAGCCAGTTGGCCATGCCGGGACATTGATGTCTTAGTAAAAGACCGGATTAAGACAATTGCAAGAGCAATTTCCCTTGAGTAGGGTTGAATTTAGTTCAGTCAAAAACCGACTTCTGCGTGAACTAACTTTCCCGCATGTTTGGCCAAACTGATTTCTAGCTTTGGCTCAGCTCTGAGCCTGATTAAAGCATCGCTGAGCTAGCTGAATAGCTAGAATAGCTAGTGTAGATTGCAGCAAGTTTACTGTACCCAAAAATCTCGATTCTTTTTTTTTTCCAGAACACGTGTGTCCCATCAAACACATTAGGGAAATCGAGCGCGAGTGAGTTGGGGGCAAAAACAAGTCCACAAAAAAGTCCACAAAAAAACTGCTCCACTAAAAAAAGTTAGGCAATAGTACTAAAGCCCATAAAACAAGATTTCCACAAAAACAAATATTCCTTCTGGAAATGACCTTCGAGATTTGAATTGAATCAAATGAATCGAATGGAAAGAGACCGGAAATCCCTTTTTTTGACTTTTGAAAGTGGGAATGGTAAAAGTTTTAGTCAAAGAAATGAGGGATCGGTTTTTTTATATATTTATAGAAGTTTAGCAACTTATGAAGCATCAAAAATTTCAAGATCTAGACTAATTCATCTTCTCAAGAATTATCTTTTGATTTGATAGCTATTTTTTGCTGTCGGCATGCTAGCTTTTTGAAAACAAATGAATGAGCCTTCACTGGCTTACAGGGGTAATCTTCTAGCCAATTTCTAGATAGATCAGGCCGAAGCCAGAGCTAGAATCTGTCCTAGTGTGGCTTGATTTGATCCGTGCTTTGATCTGAACGGATTCTAACGTAACCAGATTCTAATCTAGAAATCCAATTCTCCAAGTAAATGTTGGGCTGGTCTGGCTGGACTGGACTGACTGAACTGGACTGACTGGACTGAACTGGCCTGGCTGGACTGGCTTGGCTGGACTGGACTGGCTTGGCTGGACTGGCTTGGCTGGACTGGCTGGACTGGCTTGGCCGGACTGGCTGGACTGGCCTGGCTGGACTGGACTGGACGGACCGGCTTGGCTGGACTGGCCTGGCTAGACTGGTCCGACTAGACTGGCCTCCCTGGACTGGCCTGGCTTGACCTGGGCCTTTGGGTCATTTTCTAAGCCAAGCAAAGCAACTTATGAAACGTAGAAAATTTCAAAGTCTATCTCTGTCTCTTGGCAATGGACTGGTGTCAATGGAAGCTTAGAGGTCCTAGCCCAGGCCGAATTCGTATCCCACTTAACTAACTAGATATCAAGGCCAGTGTGTACAAAAATGTGGCCCGGATCTGGCTCTGGTTTAACCAAGATCTGGTAAAGTTGATCCGGTAAAGCTAAAACTAAAGAAACTGACACTGAAAATGAGACTGGTTAGTCTCAACATGATCAGACCAAGGAAATCACCAGCTAAACTAGCTAATTTAGCTAAACTCCAGCTAAATTTAACAGGTCGTTTCAAATTTATAGAAAAAACTGAATCAAAAGGAGTTAAGTAAGTTTAAAAATCGATGAGTATTTATTAAAAAAATGGCAATCACAATTGAAAAATCTCTTAAAAAAAAATGATGTCCAATTTTGTTTGAATAACTCCAAAAAAAAAAAAAAACGGTGGCAAATAGGCGAACAATCAACCAGAAATTTCAGAAAAAAAAAATGAAAGGAGAACAAAAGTGAAAACAAAATTCTTTATGCAAATGTTTCGATGTTTTGCCAAAAAAAATGCCGATGAGCTTAAAATTTGCCGTTGAAAGCCGGGGAAAAGCGAAAAAAAAAAAAAAAAAAAAACGGTGATCAAAGTGATCAAATCTGCATATTTTTGATGTTCTTTTTGCTTGATAATCGAAAAATTTTAGCAAAATTTCCTCAGTGATCATTTGAAGGCTGAAAACTTGTTGACTAGACTCATTTTCTAGTTGAAGTTCTAGTTGAATGTTTATTTGGAAAATTTGGGTAATTCGATCGATTGTGTGTTCTTTCCCTGTCGCTCATAGGAAAAAGCAGTGTCTGGCACACTGCCCGGATAGAACCCGCTAGAAACGCACTCCCGGCGGTTTAATTACCCAAGTTTCGTGTGTGGTGAGGTGCGGAAGTAATTGTGATAGTGCCAGGTTGCTCCAGTTTGAGCAAAGTTTGCCCTAATAAAGGAAAGTTTTGATAAATTGTGTGTTTTCAAGACATCTACCATTAAACCACACCGAGGCACGGTCTCACAAGAAATCATAAAGATCAAAGTATAAATATATTTCTTACAGTTACTTTCCATTACAGTTACAGTTTAATTCCAGTTACAGTTTAATTCCAGTTACAGTTCAATTCCAGTTACAGTTTGATTCTAGTTACAGTTCAATTCCAGTTACAGTTTAATTCCAGTTACAGTTTGATTCCAGTTACAGTTTGATTCTAGTTACAGTTCAATTCCAGTTACAGTTCAATTCCAGTTACAGTTTGATTCTAGTTACAGTTCAATTCCAGTTACAGTTTAATTCCAGTCACAGTTTGATTCTAGTTACAGTTCAATTCCAGTTATAGTTCAATCACATTTACATCTCAATCACATTTACATTTCAATGACATTTACAATAACTGCATTCAATAAACTCATCGAAAACATAATGAGCGGCAATTAAGAGAAAAACCAACATTTTAAAGTCATAAAGAATCGTTTCTTTTTATTAAAATTGTACGCAAAATTGGAATCAAATAGCTGAATTTAACCAAAATCCCGATTTGATTCTTTCACTTTTAAAAAAAGAAACTATTCTTTATGACTTTATGACTTTATGATTCATTGCAATCAAATGGTCAGTGAACTCTTCAAAAAATAAAGAAAAAAAAAGAAATGACCGTTTGTTCGTTTTTGCTCTCTTTTCCCCAACTCTTTCGTATCACCCAAAAAGTTGTGAAAAGAAAATTTTGGCGTAAACAAAGCCCCCAAAAATCACTGATTTTCTTTCCCAAATGACACGTTCACATTTTGTGATCATGAAACGTTTAGTTCAACTATTTGATTACTTTTTCTTATATCAACTAATGCTTTTTCTAAAATGCATTTATTTAAATTTAAAAGGCATTTAAAAGGCATTTAAAAGGCATTTAAAAGGCATTTAAAAGCTTTTCTGAAATGCAATAAAATGCACTAAAAGGCATTTATTTTAGTAAAAAACTACCGTTAAATCTATTTGATTTATTCAAATTTTTCATTCGATTTAGCTCTTATTATCTTGATTACCTATTTGATCTATTCGATAAATCTTTTTCCCAACAATCTGTAAACACATTGCTCCTGACGCCTTGTAATATTTTCAGTTTTCTCTAGGATACTCTATCAATTTCTCTCCAATTTCCCAACAATCAATTATTTCACCGATGCTTTTGATTCTCCTTTTGATTCTCTAAGATCAAAATTTGAAGGAATCTAATAAAAACTGACGCTGAGATTATGATAATTTGTTGAAAATAAACCTCTTAAAAACCTCTTAAAAACCTCTTAAAAACCTCTTAGAAAACACATTGCTCCTGGCGCCTTGTAATATTTTCAGTTTTCTCTAGGATACTCCATCAATTTCTTTCCAATTTCCCAACAATAAATTACAAAAAATTATACAAATCTCAAGCTCGATTATCAATCAATAAATATTTATAGTTTTATTACTTTTTAAAAAATAGACTGTATGTTCTCTAATAGTAGTGCAATTCGGCGAGCCGAGTTGATGACTATTTTACAGCTCCCAAGCTTTCACAGAAGCTCAACACTCAAATCCCCCGCAAGATCTCATCGTCAGCTACATTTTCCGACCCAACATCGATAGGTTCTGATAAGCGCTTCTCGAGATTTCAAGGAATTTAAGCAAAGCTGAGTGTGAACTACTATTAGAGAGAATAGCTAAAAGGAGCTCAGAAATATGTATACCAAGTATTTCCTTCTATCTTTCTTTCTTTCTTTCCTTCTATCTTCTTTCTTTCTTTCCTTCTATCTATCTTTCTTTCTTTCTTCCATTCTTCCTTTCTTCCATTCTTCTTCCCCTTCTGCCTTTCCTTCTTTCTCTTGTCAGTTAAGGTACCAAAACAGCTGAGTGGTTAAAGCAAAAGAATTTTCGAAGAGGATTCAATTCCCTCTACTTTTTCTTGCCAATTTCTTTACTTCTTTATTAAGATATGTCAAGTGATCAAGAGTTCTCGGATTGTGCCTCAACATCGATCCATTGGGACGATGAGAGAGATGTGGCTGAAGAAGGGGATCTCATTCCAGACTCAGCCTCGACAACATCGAGTTTTGGATCAACAGAGCAGGTGATTGAGTAGTTTTTATTGGTTGTCAAAGTTTCTAAAAAGAATAGAAAACTGGGTAGGCAAAGTCTCGTGTCCCAGGGATGGGCAATGGATTGAATTCGATCCGGTAAATTGAATCTAGTTTTTCGAATTCAGATTGCCTATCCCTGAACAAATATGTCAAGATTTTCATACTCATTTTTCAGGAGTTAAATCTCGCCTACGATCCTCCCTTCAATTCGTCGGATGAGCTTGATCGTTTGAGTCAATGTTTGACGAATAGTGAGGTGTGGAATGAGAAAGTTTGAGAGCTTAAGGACTGCTGTAACAAGTGAACAGTTCTCTAGTTAACAGCAAGAACTATGGAAACGACAAACAAAACTACCTTTAGTGAATAGAATGACTAAAAGTCAATGGGTTGAGTTTTAAAACAGACTTTTCCAAAGGGGAAACCAGAAGTCAACTGGCTTTGTCATAAATGTCATAGAGAAGCAGAGGTGATCTTTTCTGAAGTAACATTTGATCTGATCAATAGCTAAGAGTCGCTTTAAACCAAAAACAATGATACTTATACAAAATTGATTACTTTATAACCTTTTACAACTCTTTCCATTCCAATTTTTTTTCTTTCTTATGAAAAAAAAAAAACTTTCACTCAAAACCACAAAAAGAAAAGGAGAACGATCCCCCTCAATTCGTCGGATGAGCTCGATCGTTTGAGTCAATGTTTGACGAATAGTGAAGTGTGGAATGAGAAAGTTTGAAAGCCAAAGTATTGCTGTAACAAGTGAACAGTTCTCTAGTTTGATTCTACGAAAAACCAGTTAAGATTGACGTCTGTTTTGTCATAAATGTCATAAAGAAGCAGAGAAGCTTTTCTCAACTAGCTTTTCATCTCATCAATAGCTAAGAGTCGCATTTGTTAAAACCAAAAACAATGATACTCATACAAAACTTGATTACTTTATAACCTTTCACAACTCTTTCCATTCCAATTTTCTTCTTTTTTATGAAAAAAAAACAAAATTTTTCACTCAAAAACTCACAAGAAAGAAAGAAAGAAAAAGTGTAAAGATACGATCCTCCCTTCACTTCGTCGGATGAGCTCGATCGTTTGAGTCAATGTTTCACGAATAGTGAGGTGCGGAATGAGAAAGTTTGTAAGCCAAAGTACTGCTGTAACAAGTGAACAATTCTCTAGTTTAATCCAGTCAATGAATCTATGGAAATCGACAAAAAAAAACTACTCTTTAGTGATATAGAATGATCTAAAAGTCAATGGGTTGAGTTTTAAAACAGACTTTTCCGTAGGAGAAACCAGAAGTCAACTGGTTTATCATAAATGTCATAAAGAAGCAGAGAAGCTTTTCTCAACTAGCTTTTCATCTCATCAATAGCTAAGAGTCGCATTTGTTAAAACCAAAAACAATGATAAAAAATACCGACTGGGGCTACCAGTGGTGAATTTATCGCATACACGAAATATATCAATCACAATACAATGACACACACAATACTAGGCTATATCTTAACTTAACCCACGTCATGACAGACGGCTCCCTAACCCTAAGCTCAATGGGGAACTAAATAGCTTTTTTGGTGGTGAAGGGAAGATGACGATGAAGGAGTGGCGATGACTTTAAAGAACTGGGGCCACAACCACCAGACTGCCCTCCAGAAAACCTCTCAACCCGAAGGGAAAGGAAATCCGAAGGGGGTGACCATGTCGCATGTGGGGTTCGAACCCTCGACCTTCCGATTAAGATAAAAGACACTTAACCAGTCAGCCACACGTGCATTGTATACGTGCATACTTATACAAAACTTGATTACTTTCTAACCTTTCACAACTCTTTCCATTCCGATTTTCTTCTTTCTTATGCAAAAAAAAAACAAAACTTTTCACTCAAAAACTCACAAGAAAGAAAGAAAGAAAAAGTGAAAAGAAATGAATCGATTTGTGCAAGTGAATCCGTTGTTTTCTTCTTATTGCCTCTTTACCAAAAGAAAAGTGGTCAAAGTACAATATCTCTTGATTTTTCTCGATTTTCCCTAATTCTCTTTCATTTCTCCTCTCAATTTTAGCCTTTACAATGCCTTTTTGTCACTTTTTTCTCTCTTTTTCTCTCCTTTTCTCTTTTTTCTCTTTTTGTTTCTTCTTTTCCCCTTCGACCCCAATTATTATCACCCTAACGGCGATGCATTCACTTTTTTTCTTGAGTTTTTCTCACTTTTAAACCGATCTTTGTCATAAATCTCACATTTTTTAAAGATTAATTGCAAATTTTCAATCATTTTGATCATTTTTTTATTTTGATTTGAGTCTTCCGAGGATTTTCAGGATCGGCGAATCGATTGGCGCTATCCATCTGCCAACTAGAGCTCAATTCGAGATCAAAACTTTGGTGTACTTCTAAAATAATAAATAAAGACTTTAAAAGCTGCCATTTCCTCATCATAATAGGAAAATCTCTTCGCTAAAGTTTCCTAGTTTTTTTTTCGAAAAGTTTAAACCAACTAAACCAACTAAACCAAAGTCTTGATCTCGAATTGAGCTCTAGTTGGGAGATGGATAGCGCCAATCGATCCGCCGATCCCGAAAATCCTCGGATACAAATTTACAGCTCAATTTCTTTATATACAATTTATAAAGCAAAGAAGAAGCAAGTCCTGCGGTGTTCTTTGTGCGTGTGCACAATCGCTCGCCATCTGGCACCCTCTGCCGATACATAGGGGTTCCTTTTGGGATCCGTCAAGGTGTTGGGCCGATCGAGCAAAATAAGAATCAAGTCGCTGGCGGGGCGCTCCCTGCCGTCATTCGGCACTAGGTAGCCGCTCGTCGTCTGGCAAACCGCTCCGGGCTGTTGCTTTGGGCACAAGCTACTTTAGCCCTCAACGCATAGCGACTGAGCCAGACTCCCCTTTCTCGTCGTCATTATGCCCAAATTTTTGGGAACAATCTTTGCCCTAAATTTGGCTAGTCTTTCGGCAACAATTTGGCCGAAAACAATTTGACCGTAAAAGAAGTCGCTGGGAAGCGCTCCTCATCTGCCAAACCGCTCTAACTGCTTCCCTTAAGGTGCTTCCCTTTCGGGATCTGCGTTGAAGCGTTTTTGAGAAATTCTACGAATGGTATTGGCAGATTTATGAGGTTTTTGAGTGGAAATTTTCGTTCATTGACAGATTTTGAGGGAGAGAGATAAAGAATGCCCGCGAAAAAGCAATGAAATAACGTCATTCTCATTTTGGCTATTATTTTCAAATATTTTCAAATCTACCAATATTCTTCTATTGCCTTTTTAAAAAAATTACAGCTTTTTTTGAATCCTTTACAATAAGAATTCTATTAACCATTTCTTTAACTTTCAATGGTTTTAACTTTTTTAAGTTAAAGTTAATGTTTTTGGGGTGTGAGTACGTTTTAGGAAAGAGTATAAGTAAGTAAAAAAGTTCTCCTTCCTCTTTTTTGTTTTAAACTTGGTTTCTTGTGTTTTTTCTGTGAAATCGGGTCATTTATTCGGTTTGTCAATTAAAAACTGCGGGACTTTGAACTAAAATTTATTCAACATAAAACCATCAATTCATTCCAAATAATTTCCATTTTTATTGACGACTTCTGCCCATTTTACAGGCAATTTGCGGATTCCTCTTTTTGGATTTTGGATTAGGATTTTGGTTTGTGTGTGAGACAGGGTGAGACTCAAAAATGGAGGACTGGAGACTCAAAAATCGATGAGATGTCCCAGTTTGAGCACTTTCTTCAAAAGAAACCCATTTTGGTATCAATAGAAAAGTTGTAGAGAATCAAAAATTAGGCTTATAGCCAAATTTCCAAAAAGATACACTTAGTAGTTTCGTTTAAAATGCAAGTTTTGTGAAAATTCGTAACATTTGGCATTTCTTGAAAATCAGTTTTTCAATCGTTCTGAAAATTTGGATATAACCTTGATTTTTGATTCTCTACAACTTTTCCATTGACACCAAAATGGGTTTCTTTTGAAGGAAGTGCTCAAACCGTCTCATATGACAATAGCCGGCAGTTTTCAATTCACCAACCCAATAGATTGAGATTAGCCTTGATTTGAGGAGAAGTCAATGTCCAATTTGAGGATTCGGAGCCGGGAAGACCATTTTGGCGAAGCGAGCGGGAAGGGGGGTTATGTAAAAGTCCTGGGCCAGATGAAGAGCGACTACGCAACCGCACAAAGGACACAAATGTCCAATTTAAGGATTGAGAGACTCCCAGATTAGTTTGGGCAGGGGAGAGGGAAGGGGGTTGTGTAAAAGCCCTGGGCCAGACGACGAGCTATTACGCGCCCGCACAAAGAACACACAGAACACCCAAATTTTAAGCGAAACTACTAAGTGTATCTTTTTGGAAATTTGAATATAAGCTTGATTTTTGATTCTCTACAATTTTTCCATTGACACCAAAATGGATTTCTTTTGAAGAAAGTGCTCAAACCGTCTCATATGAAAATAGCCGGCAGTTTTCAATTCACCAACCCAATACCTGAAACTTATTACAAGTTATATTTAACCAAACTATTTTTAGAGTTTCTCAAATTTTTCAAACTAAATTTTTTACCAAAAAAAAAGAAAAACAAATTCCACGAGTATTTTCACGAGTATTCACTCAAAAATTTCAAATTCTAATCATCATTTCGATCTAACAAAACAACAAAAAACGGAAAAAAGCAAAAAGTTTCAAAACATTTTCTCTCTTTCCTCTTTTTCCTCTTTTCCCTCTTTTCCTCTTTTCTCCAATCTTTCCACACTTTCAAATATTGACTCACGTGATGAAATTCTACACAAAAGTACAAAAACTTAATGTTTTTGGAAATATTTCTTATTTTTCTTGATAAATCTATAGATATTCAACAAAAATAAAGCCATCATAACTGACCGGATAGGAGTCTTCTCTTCTACTAAAAGCTCAAAGATTCAATCCCGAAGCCTAGCAAAAATTTTTTCTTTTACCCATTATTACGAGTTTTTTTTCTTAACAACATTCAGATAATAGTAATATATAGGCGGTATATATAGTAATATATTGGGTTGGGGAGAGCGCCCAACTTCAAGGGGACAAAAAGGAAACCAGCCAAATGGCAAGGCCGCCCAAAATAAAAAAGATAGCACATTGAATTACTGCAAGCCCACCAGTTTTTTTTGGTTTTTGGGGTTTTTGGGGGAAGGGGGTTTTTTTTGGGGGGGGGGGGGGTTTTGGTTTTTTTTTTTTTTTGTTTTTTTGGGGGGGTGGGTATAACTCTTTTCCCCATTCCAAAGAGATTGGTTGGGGGGGGGGGGGGGGGGGGGTTTGGTTTTTTTTTGTTGGCACTCCCCCAACCCAATATAATAATATATAATAGGGGCAATTATAGAGCAGCTGAGAATGAAAAATGGCAAAAATGAAGAAAAGGGAAATTTTTAATTTTTCCTTTCTCTTTCCAAAAGCCAAGCACCCCATACCAGGGCCATTTGCCAGATGACGAGCGATTGTGCACGCGCACAAAGAACACCTCCCACCGCCAGTTTCGACAGGGATCTCGGCGTTGTAAATGGCCCAAAAAGATATTCAGCTATGAAATTGTACCAACGGGCAGTCCGAATCGATTGGCGCTATTCATTTTGTCAGATCTATCAATTAAAAAAAGGCTGCAAAAAGCAGAAATAAAAAAAAAACGACCATCTAACGAACTTTTTGTTGAGGTGTACTTTTTGCTCAAAAATTTCATAAACGCGATCCATTTGGCGGACTGAATTCCTCATTATTTATCAAATTTACCATTATTTCTTCATTATTTGAAAGAAAATAAATGAAAAAAATGAAGAATTCAGTGAATGTGAAATGGTTTTTTTTTTAGAGAAACTAAAACACAAAGTATAGGTCATTTTTCAAAAGAATTCTCTCTGTTTTAGCTTTTGTTTTCGTGTGTGCTTTCTCAATCGCATTTTGAACAGAAATCGTTGTCCTTTTCATTTCCCATTTCCCCTATCAGCAACCCTTCCATCATTGCTAGTTTTTTTGCTGACCAAACATTTTTCTTTGTCGAACGACCCAGATTTTGTGTTCGAAAAACAATCAAAACTTCTTGTTTTTTTTAATTTTAAGAAAATTATTTCGATTTATTATCTAAAGATTTATCTAATTTATTATCATTATCTAAAGCATTTCATTATCTATTGTGCCTAATACGATTTGATTTGATTTGATTTTGATTTGATTTGATTTGATTTGATTTGATTTGATTTTGATTTGGTTTTGATTTGATTTTGATTTGATTTTGATTTGATTTTGATTTGGTTTTGATTTGATTTTTGATTCTCCTATTGTCATTGTCCTATTGTGTCCTTTCTTTCCTTCCTTTCTTTCCTTTCTTTCCTTTCTTTCCTTTCTTTCCTTTCTTTCCTTTCTTTCCTTTCTTTCTATCCGAGCTTTATTCTTTGTGATGGGGCTCAATTGGCACACTTAAATCTCTTCAATGAAAATCATCTTTGACTTCAAAGCAAAGCCATCACTATCTAAGTCTTTTAATCGATTTCAAAAAAACTTTTATTTATGAGCTTTTTATAGACTTTTTAGGGTTTTTACTATCGAAACTTTCTTTCTAATTTCTTGTTTTCATTGATTCATTAATTCATTAATTCATTAATTCATTTCGATAGTAAAAACTATCGTTTATTGTTCAAGCTTATAATCTAATTTATTCTATTTTCTTCTAGTTTTAGTCTGTGATTTTCTTTAGTGACAAACAAACAAAATATTCGAATTTATGAGATTATTGTCAAAATATTCGAAGAAAAAAAACTTGTTTGTCAAGAAGGGATTCGAACCTAGCACTCACGAAAGGCGAGCAGCTTTAGAGACCAGCACACTATCCACTACACCATGACTGCCACAGAAGGCCTCCGAATAAACTCGACCTAAAGCCGCATAGCAAAAACTTTTCAACCAAAATCTATTGAATTGTGATCTAAATTGACGATTTTTTCCAGAAAATTCTTTTCCAATCCCTTTCTTTTCCCTATTATTCAAACTCTCAGCAAATTCCTAGAATGGATTTCGAGCGTGACTTCCCGCCACTCGGATTGGGCGTCTCTTCTCCGCACTCTTCTCCACCCTCTTCTCTGCCTCTAAATTCCCCTAGCACCATTCATTCACTCGATTTCACTGAGGATCTTGATGGAGAAGAGGAGGATTTAATGGGTGAATTGAACGATGGAGACTCGTTGATGTCTCCTTGTTCAATTCCATCACCACTACTTCAATATCGATCGCCGAGTGAGTACGGAGGACCAGATACGGCTCAATTACTCGAATTTGTCAATAGCCGATTGTCGAGTGTTGAGCAAAACGATTTTGGATCGGATATCACGTCAATGGTGTGTGATTTTGAGCTCGAAACGCACGCTTTCTAGTGCACTGTTGTGAGGAAAAGTGGGCCAGAAAGGGCTCCACTTTAGGCGTCTTGTACGGAGCTCAACGTAGCCCAAAGTCTTTAGGTTACAGTAACTTTCTCAAACTTCTAGTCTTGGGAAACATGGCAAGCGTTACAGTAATCTGTAGAAATAAGGACTGGATAGCTGGATTACTTGGCTAGATTCACTAGCTAGATTCACTAGCTAGATACACTAGCTAGATTCACTAGCTAGATTCACTAGCTAGATTCACTAGCTAGATTCACCAGCTAGATTCACTAGCTAGATTCACTCGCTAGATTCAAAAAGATTCACTTAACCCAACTCAGTCAGAAAGCTCAGTTAAACAAGTCAGAAAATTGGTATAAAGCAACAGAAAGATTTTCAAGAATGACAAATTCCAGGCATCATCCGAGTCGCGCGAGGGCTCGACCTCACTTTTCTACGATGTGATACAGGTAGTGATCAAGTTTTGAACAAGTTTTGAACAAGTTTTGATCAAGATCAAGACAAAGATCATGATCAAGCTGTAGGCCAAGCCAAGCCAGGGCCAGGTTCAGATCTAGCTTCTAGAAGAGCCAGACAAACAGTAGACCCAGCCAAGCCAGCCAGGATCAAAAGCCAGACCTGCTTTCTGACCTTCTGACCTTTTGACCAGGCCTGCCTGGCTCTCCCTGGTTTGGGGTTATTCTAGATCATTTATTTACGTAGACAAATAATCAAGACTATAATTGCAGGCTCAAGTGGCCTTATGGACTTGCGTGGTTTCTCTTCTCTACTCGTACGCGTGGCGACAACATCGAAAGAAGTTCATCATGAGCATTGTGAGTTCAACACTGTTTAATCCTATTTTCCTTCAATGCAAACGCTCATTTTCTGGTGCAGTTCTAAAAGGTGGTGTGCCAGGAAGTGTGCCAGAAAGTGTGCGTTTCGGTGAACGCGAAGTGCTAGCATTTCTAGAAACATTTTTCGTTTATAATCTATTAAATATTTTGGCGTTAAATTACGGTCACAAAAACCGGAGTTTCTATTAATTCTTTTTTTTTTTCTATTAATTCCTTTTCCAGTTCCTCATCGTGCCCACCGTTTTCACCGCCTCGTGCGTGATCTCGGGTTTATTGACGACAATCGTTGTGCTGGGAAGACTTTTCTCCACTCCTTACACTTACACAGATTTCATTAATCTCAAGGATAAGATTTTGCCTGGTTGGTTTTTAAAAAAAACATTTATACACACGAATAATTTGGTGCAAAAAAAGACAAAGAACAATCCCTAAGTGTAGGGAAGAAAAACCCAACAAAGTGGGAAAAGGAACCAATAATCTAGCTAGCGGAATTGAACTCTTGACCTCTTGACTAAGATACTCGTAATTTAGCCAGGCTCTTAACCAGTCGGGGTTTCAGTGAAAGCTTTCAATATCCACCTTTTAGCGGATGAAGAGTTGATGGGACGAAAGAGGACTTTGTCGGGAGCGTCGACGATCAGTTGGCACAGTGAGGTCAGTGTTGAGGGTACTGTAAAACGTAAAGATCGTACTATAGTACTGTAGTACTGTGGTACGAGCTTTGCTGTGAGCTGTAATCTAACTGTATGCAATCTGTAACCTAACTAAAGTATTTTAGCCTTAGAAAGTGTTTGTCTGAGTCTGAATCTGCTTTTTGATTTGATTGTTATCCATTTGATTCCAAAATAGCTTACTTTACTGGAACTAAAGACTAGATCCTAATCTACAGTAACCTTAGCCACAGTAATCCACAGTAACCCTAGCTACTTAAGTAGACTTCTATGATAGTGTTGAGGGTACTGGAAAGCGTAAAGATCCTACTGTAGTCCTGTAGTACTGTAGTCCTGTAGTACTGTAGTCCTGTAGTACTGTAGTCCTGTAGTACTGTAGTACTGTAGTACTGTAGTACTGTAGTACTGTAGTACTGTAGTACTGTAATCTAACTGTAACTAAAGTATTGCAGCCTTAGAAAGTGTTTGTCTTAGTCTGAATCTGCTTTTTGATTTGATTTTTATCCATTTGATTCCAAAATAGCTTACCTTACTGGAACTAAAGACTAGCTCTACAGTAACCCTAGCTACAGTAATCTACAGTAACCCTAGCTACAGTAATCCACAGTAACCCTATCTACTTAAGTAGAATTCTATGATAGTAAGAATCTAAAAGAACTACTATAGATCTCAGTAGGTTTAAGTTTTTGCTCAAGTAGTGAAGGGGAAAAGGTTGAGGCCAGTTTAAAAGGTTTAAGAAGAGCTTAAAAGAATCAAAGGATTACTGTAGCTTTGTAAGAGCTTCTATAAGAGCTTCTAAAAGTTCAATCCAACGATTCAATGATTACAGCAAGATCTGCTGCCACGTCCACTTTGTCGTCGTCACTCGGCGTCAAACGGAAGTGTCAACAATGCTTCAAGGCCACCATCAAGGAAATTATCCTATTGTTATAGTCATTTCTCAGCCGAGAATGGTATTGAAGAGAAAACTGAATAATCTAATATTTCTGTACTTTGTGCTCAATTTTCTAAGCGTAACCTTTCACTTTACGAGAAAACTAAACAAAATCAGTGCTCCAGAAAGGGTGTGTTTCGAGAATTTCCCCTCTAAAGTACACTTCTACAGTGATCTACTACAGTAATCGACTTCTAAAGTAATCTACTACAATAAGCGACTTTTAATCGACTTCTAAAGTACTCTAATTCTACAGTAATAGCTACAGGATCACTTAAAGCTTAAAAGCTTGTATTTATTGTGGTTTTAAAGGCGGAAATCTATCTATTAGATCTTTTTTTTCATTTGTACAATCTCTAGAAACGTGTACCAACAAAATTACGAGAAATTTTTGCTTTTTTCCTAGAAATTTTTGTTCAATTTTTGCTCAAACACGGGTATATTGTTTAGTTTTTTGAAAATTTTGTGTGAATTTGTGAATAAAATGTTTCTGAGTGAATCGAAAAAACTATTTACTTTACTTGTCCTCTTCCAGGCTTGGACTGAAGACGTCCCTCCTCTTTCAATTGCTTTACAATCTTCTGGACGGTTCTCAGAGCCACCTTGCGGTTCTCAGAGCCACCTTGCGGTTCTCAGAGCCACCTTTGCTTTACAAGCCTTGATACGGTCGATGAGTGCTTCATGCCGCTCGTCGCCAGCTATGTGATTGCGTTCCGAAGCGCACGTCTTTGTCATGACCGAGAAAAGTTAAAGTAAAGTAAGTTAGAGCAAAGTCACGTGTACCGAGAAATTAATGAGAAATTTTTGCTTTTTCCTAGAAATTTTTGTTCAATTTTTGCTCAAACACGGGTATATTGTTTAGTTTTTTGAAAATTTTGTGTGAATTTGTGAATAAAATATCTCTCAGTGAATTGAAAACGATTTACAAATTTGAAAAATAAAATTGTGGAAACAATCCGACCGTATCACCCATTGAAAAGGGAAATCCGGTGTCTGACGTCTCCTCACATTACAATTTCCCTCGGCAGAAACCGGTCACTGGCTCATTTGTGAGCAATAACCCGGCTTAAAGCACGAGGGGGAGTCGAACCCGGGATGCTAGGTGTGGCGAGACGAGCGCGCTAACCACTCGACCAAGAGAGAAATGGGGAGTGGGCGAGATTTTTGGGTTACAGTTTCGCCTTCGCCCTCTTCTCCGTTCAACGCTTTCAACTCTTTAGTGAGTCAGATTTCGATTGATAATCTATAAAATTATAAAGTAAACTTGAAACCTTGAGTAACCTTGAGTTACTGTTTTACTAAGTTACTGTATTACTGTATTACTGCATTACTGTATAACTTCATTGATTACTGCAACATTTTGGCAAAGTCTCGTCAAAGTCCAGCTTGATTAGGATTGGCAAAGTATAGCTTGATTAAGATTGGCAAGTCCAGCTTGATTAGGACTGTCAAAGCCAAAATACAGCTTGATTAAGATTATCAAAGTCAAAGTACAGCTTGATTAGAATTATCAAACTCATTAAATGTTATAATTCTTCTATTCTATGTAAAATTAAGTATAGCTTTTAGATTTTATGAATAATTCTTGTTTTTTTCAGCTTAGATTAATATATATATTTTTTTAAAGGGAATGCTCAGAAGTGACTAGCGGTTAAAAGAGACTTCTAGTCTTCCCGAACAACTAGCGGGATGGTGTAGTGGATAGTGGGTTTCGCTATGAAACTTGGCTCACCTTTTGCTCACAGGTTCGATCCCCGTATGTGGTTTTTTCTCTTTTTCTTCTTCCTTTGCCGTGCAAACTATTCGTGAAACGCTTGCACAATCGATTGGACATCAATTGCGATTTCCCTTCTACAAAAACGTGAAAACCTTTTGCAAAATCGTTTCCTAGTTTGCCACGTTTCCTAGTTTGCCACTAGTTGAAAAAGCCGAGAAGCCACTTTCAACTCTAGCCTCTTTTTTCCGAGTACCTAAATTTATAACGCGTTCTTCTTCAAAATCATTGCCTATTCTCAAAAACTAAAAGCCCTATCGTACTCGCCGTACTCGACTTGTGTTTACACCTCATTTTCATCCCGAAATCTCATAGTCATGACCATTCTCTTTTTAGAAAGCCAAAGCCTGCATTAACCCCAACATTATATGCAGAGTTTTTTTTAAAAGATGCGGCTTTCGACACCCTTTGAGCCTTCGAGTTCCCTCTGGAATGGATAATGGGTTGGCGGGGTGAGGCTCCATTTGGTGACCCTTACCCTGCCCCACCTACCCCTATCCCGCCCATCATTGAGCGAAACTCATTGAGCCTCAGGCCCACATAGTCAAGGGTGCTGCTGCGTCTATTTGCTTCAAATATATGGAGACTTCCTGGGAAAAGAAGAAAATGGAGAGAAGGGGTGGAAGAGATCGAGAGGCTTTGAAGGAGAGAGGAGTGCCCACCGAGGACCCGATCAATAGGAGCTGGGGCTGGGAAAAGGGAGAAGCGGATGAGATAGGAGGGAAAAGAGCCAGTACTAAGAAATAGTTAATAGCTAGAGTTGGAAGAGAAGATGGAAGAGTCAGTGAGGAATGGTGAGTGGTTAGAGAGGTAGAGAGCCAAGAGAGAGCTAGTCCAGAATAGTAAGAAAAGCAAGAAGATTTAGAGGTTGTTGAGAAATAGTATGTTGCTAGAGATGGGAATAGAAGTGCCAGAAGGCATATATCCTTGAGAGAAGCTATAGAGGAAGAAAGGGAAGGAAGAAGCTATAGAGGTTGAGTAGAGAGACAAGGGCAGTACTAAAGAACATTGGTAAGTGATCAGTTAGAGAGTTGAACAAAGTCGAAAGTAATGTTGTTGGCCAAAGATGAGGCTTAAGCTGAGATAAGCAAGAGATTGAGAAAAGAAAACTGGAGGTAGAGAAGGGGTAGAGAAGCTAAGGAAATAGCAAGACAGATATTTTGAAGGTTAAGAATAGGGTCTAGAGATCGAGGCTCAGAATAGAGTGCAGAGAAGCGGATGACAGGAATATTGGAGCAAGGAATAGACTGAGCTGGAAAGAAAAAAAGAACAGTGCATCAGAGATATTCCGAAAGAAATCCCTCTTTTTGAATTCTCTCCACAAAAAGTGTTGGATTGGACATTGGATTTCCTTTTTTTTCCTTTTTCCTAAGCTTTCATTCAAGCCGAAATTGGACCTCAATTCTTCTTTTTTTTTTTCAACTTTTTTCAGCTTTCTTTAGCTTTTTGAGAGTTTTATTTTCCTCGAACTTGCGAAAGATCCACCAGTGTCACGTCATTGGCATGTGACTTTTGAGGAAAACTTTTATTCATTCTTGAGTTTATTGAAATGTTTAAGCTTCTATAGCTTCTTGATATCGGTTCTTCATTTTAAATAGATTTCATTTCCTTTTTTGCTTACTATTCAAATTCTTAACCAAAAAAACAATACGCTCAAAATAACAAAAAATTGGACAGGACTTTGACTGATAGTCAGCTTGTTTCAAACCGGTTTTCCCGGGCTTTACTGCTTGCCTGACCTTGTTAGATCCTGGCCTTGAACCTGGACTAAACCTGGCCAAATCCTGGCCTTGACTAGACCTAGCCAAATCCTGGCCTTGACTAGACCTAGCCAAATCCTGGCCTTGAACCTGGACTAGATCTGGCCAAATCCTGGCCTTGACTAGAGCTAGCCAAATCCTGGCCTTGACTAGACCTTGACTAGTCAAATCGAACCCGACCTTGAACCTGGCCTTGAACCTGGCATTCAACCCGACCTTGACCCTAGCCTTGAACCTGGCCTTGGCCTGGCCAGGAACTTGACTCTCAGCCTGGTTTAACCCGGAACAACCCAACAGTCTATAGATCAATTTGAACAAAAAAACCTAACTAACAGCAGATCTTTATCCCCAAATCCTCTCCTCTTTTATTCGATCGATAGTTTGGCGGTGAGTAAAGGCCTTTCATTTCCATTGGATGGGTCAATCCTTTAAGTCCCTATGGGGCTCAAAGGGGGTGAAGGGTGGGCCCCATTTTGCCCATTTTACGATTCCCATCGTTTTCAAAACCAAAAGCAACACTTGGTTTAAAATCTAATACTTTTCTGGCTAACGTATCTGAAGATTGGCTTCATTTTTACCGTAAACTTGTTGGCTTTTTGAACTGTTGGCTTGTTTGCTTTTGTCTTTTGGTTGAAGCTAGGCAGAAGTCTGTCCCTGACGTGATTTAAGGCAGTTCTAGGTTTGATTCTGATCCAAAACTTGTCCGATCTTGTCTGTTCGGTGCCTTGATTTATCTAGAATTGTTCTTTACTAAGAAATTCTGTAATTCTATGTAAAATCGATGCAATTCTATGCTGATTCTCTGTAAGGTTTGTCAGTAATTTTAGCTTTAGTTTTAAATCATCAAAAGATCTCGAATGTTTTTCTTTGATTTAAACAAAAACATTGGAGTTTCAATTGAAAAACACGTGTTCAATCAGTCTTTTTCTGGTTATCTAGTTAGTTCTTTTGTGAGGAGAAAAATGGATTGAAGGTGAAGAAGGAGAAGAAGGAGAAGGAGAAGAAGGAAGAGGAGAAGAAGGAGAGGAAGGAGAAGAAGGAGAGGAAGGAGAAGGAGAAGAAGGAGAAGGAGAAGAAGGAAGAAGGAGAAGAAGGAGAAGAAGGAGAAGAAGGAGAGGAAGGAGAGGAAGGAGAAGGAGAAGAAAGAGAAGAAGGAGAAGAAGGAAAAGGAGGAAGATGAGGGGAAAGACTGAGAGAAAAGAGATTTTCTCACTCACACCCCGACCGAGGCCCAATATCGAATTATGGTGAGCTGGGGAGAGCTCTGTGCACCCCGCACACACCTCATTTCTTCCCAAATATCAAATAGAAACTGATTTCTTTTGGTTCTAAATGTTTAAAGTGAGTTTTTTAAAAGAAAAACTTTAATTTTCATACAAACTAGGAGATCTTCCTTTTGAAAGCCTATTGAATTTGAAAGCTATTGATTAAAGAATTTGAAATTTCCCTTTTCTTGGCACTCTTTGCCTCTTGGCCTTTTCTTGGCGCTCTTTGTTGGAATCCTTATCGAATTGAATCCTTTTTGCTTCAAATTTTTTCTTTTTTTACTTAAAAATCCTAATAAAATCTCGAATTTTCACCTTTCATTCAGCTATTTTAAGATTCGAAATTTTGTAATTTAAACCCTCAAAACGGAAAGACAAATCACTTTAGAAAATCTTGGATAAAAGCTTACTTTGAGAAGCCAATTTTTCAAAAGTATTTGCCTTCTAACAACTATAGGGAAGTTGAGAGAAAGATTTGTTTAAATTTCAAGGGATCATTGTTGAAACATCTTTGTCTTTGTCACCTTTGTCAATCCTGTTTTTTATAGTTGACAACGTTCAACTAATCTTCATCTATTAGCAATTTAGAAAAGCGTCCAGGCCTCAGCTCTGACGGACTCTTGAACTTTTTTTGTTGACCAAATCAACAGTAAACCTGGTATAAAGTCTTGCCTGGCATAGCCCGGCAGAGTTGTCGAGCCTTGTCGCGGCAGAATTGTCGAGCCTTGTCGCGGCAGAATTGTCGAGCCTTGTCGCGGCAGAATTGTCGAGCCTAAAAGAGCCTTGTCGAGCCGAGTGAGCCTATTTTGTGAATAAAAGCCGCGCTAGGTTTGGGCTTGACTCTAGACTTTTGTGGACTATAGGAAGATTGAGCCTAAGCAGCCCTTGCCTGGCCAGATCTGGATCAGCCTCTGGACTCCATCTACCCCAGCAAAATCCCTCTAGATCAGCAACTCTTCTAGACTTCAAAATATCCCTTTTCCCGTTCTCACCTCCATTTTTCATTTGGATCTCTTCTAAAATGAGCTTTTCTTTTTCCTATTTTCTCTATCTAATGGACGCCGTCATCGAAAATCGACGTCATTTTTCTTTTTTCTTTTTTCTTTTTTTCGTCTTTTTTTTCGTCTCTAGCCTTCAAGGGCAGCTTTCTTTGACTTGTTTTTTTGGCTCTTGGTTTAATTACCGGATTTGGTAATTTGTAGAAGAAACAACTCCAATTTACATTTTTTTCCTTTACTCATTTCATCAATTAGCTTGTAGCTCTGCACTTACTTTAAATGAATTTGTTATTCAACGAGAGTCGATCAATTCTATCAAATCCTTTTGAGCAAAATTAGTTAGTCTTGTTGATTGAATAGCTTTCATTAAAGCATATGACAATGAGACAGAATACAGTAGTTAATAAATAGATTTGATATTTGATATTGATACAATAGTTACGGTTAGGAATTTGTCCATGGGCATTAAGCCAAGCTAAGCGAGTCTGCAGCCCCAACCCGAAGGCATTGGGTAGTCTGGAACATTTCCATTGACAGATAAGCTGAACTCGACTAAAGATAGAGCCAAGCTTAGACCCAGAAATGAAAGCTGAATCAAAAAAAAGGCGAAACCAGACCGGATCTAGAAGTGGAAAGGTTGGGGAATCAGGCTTGAGATCTGGTTTTTTTTAGCAAAAAAAATTGCCGATGCAAACAGCCCTGGCTACTGTCTCTGCAGTACTGTAGAGAGTACAATGCTGTGCAGTTAAAAGCTACAGTACTGTAGTAAATCTTAATTTTAACCTTAAACACTTTTAAACTTAAATCCCAACTCTAACTGACTAGTTTCCAATTTAAAAAGTGTTTTTTTTTCTCTCTTTTTTTTTCTCTTATTTTTTTTTCTTATTTTTTTTTCTTATTTTTTTTCTTATTTTTCCCAAAGCTTTCCCCCTATTTCATTTGTGGAAGAATCAATTTTAAAACAAAAAAAAGAGAAAAATGCTGAACGAATCCAATTATTCTTTGGCTTTCCGTTTTTGAAATCGTTTTGCAATAAGTTTAAGACCAAAAAAAGAAAGATTAAATCTCTTTAACACTAAATTTTTGTGAAAATTTAGAAACTAGCTTCCATTTAGAAACTAGCTCCCAATTAGAAACTAGCTTCCATTTTGAAACTAGCTCTCATTTAGAAACTAGCTCCCATTTAGAAACTAGCTCTCATTTAGAAACTAGCTTCCATTTAGAAACTAGCTCCCATTTTGAAACTAGCTCTCATTTAGAAACTAGCTCCCATTTAGAAACTAGCTCCCATTTAGAAACTCGCTCCCATTTTGAAACTAGCTTCCATTTAGAAACTAGGTCCCATTTTGAAACTAGCTCCCATTTAGAAACTAGCTCCCAATTAGAAACTAGCTCTCATTTAGAAACTCGCTCCCATTTAGAAACTAGCTCTCATTTAGAAACTAGCTCCCAATTTTCGTCTTATTCTTTTTAAAAATTGAATTTTTATCTACTTTTTGCATATTTTTATATTTATTTTGTTTAGATACGTGTCTATTTATGGCCTAGCCGGTTATTCGGAATCTCGATCGAGGGGGAAAATAACAAACGAAATCTCACAAAGTATCGAGTACAATAAAAGACCTTGATCAGCAACAATGTCATCAGTGAAAGTGAGTGATTTTCTAAGAAATGGCAATTCAAAAACGTATCGTAATCCTTCTTTTTGTCTATTTTACTCAATTTCGATCGAAAATTCCGAATTTGATTTCTCGTAAAAAGAAAATTGAGTAAATCGTAGAAAGTCTGAAATAAATGGTGGCCGTGAATTGAAGAAATCGACGTTGAGCTAAAGCCTTAGAACTTCTAAGACCTTCTAGAACTCACGACTCACTTCTAAGGCTTCTAAGGCTTTAGCTCAACGTCGATTTCTTCAATTCGTATCAAAATTTTGTTGATCCCTTTACGTTCTTTGAATTTTCTTCAAATCCATTTCAGGTAGCCGTTCGCGTTCGTCCGTTTAACTCGCGCGAGGACGCGAACGCTTCGAAATGCGTCATCGGGATGACTGGGAACACCACGAGTGAGTCGAGAAAAATTCTTACAAAAAGCTCTTCTCTTGTCCTGTCAAGAGTCTTGTCAAGTCTTGCCTTTCTTTTCTCCAAGCCAAGCCTTTCCAACAAAGTCTCCAGATGCTTGGCCTAGAGAGGCTAGTCTAATCTAGACAAGATCATCTGGCCTAACTAACAGTCTAGTCTAATCTAGACAAGATCATCTGACCTTACAAGCCATAACATATCCCTGGATCAGTGGTTTGACTGGGTTGGACTTGTGTCGAATCTAGCCTGACCCGGCCTACACTTTGGCTGACCCTGGACTTGTGGCGGGTCTAGTGGCAGTCATTTTCTGTCCAAGTCTAGTCAATAGTATTTAAAGCTTCGTAAGAGAATTCGTTTCAGCGATTTCTGGCGGTGGCGGCGCTCATTCATTCAATTTCGATCACTCCTATTGGTCCTATCGAAAAGAGGACGCGCATTTCGCCACTCAGGAGCAAGTGTACAACGAGTTGGGGGTCGAGATGCTGCAGCACGCGTTTGATGGGTGAGCTACATTATTGAACGACTAGGGTAATGTAGTAGTTGTACTCTTTACTCCTGTACAGAGTAAAGAGTAGTGTAGTCTTAAAGAATGTCCTTTAGTGTCCTTTAGAATCAAAGCTAAATATCGCTTTCCTAAAGATTACATTATGATTTCATTGACCCAGGATACAGTACTCAATTCAACTCAACATTGTAACTGAATGACAACTAAATGACAACTGAATGACACAATTTTGGGTACCGGTAAAACTCAAGTAACATTTAGAAGACCGGAATTTGCCTTTGATTCTAAATGTAACCTTGATTTCATGGCCTTGATCTGGTTCATGGCTTTGGCCTGGTTCATAGCCTTGGCCTGGTTCATGGCCTTGATCTAAACTCAAGTATTCTGTCTCGAGACTGTCTGAATACTTGAGTTTAGCGTTACATTTAGAATCAAAGGCCAATTCTGGTCTTCTAAATGTCACTTGAGTTTTACCGATACCCAAAATTGAGTCCCTCAGTTGTCATTTAGTTGTCATTCAGTTACAATGTTGAGTTGAATTGAGTCATTCAGTTACAATGTCTGTATCTTTGCCTACGGTCAAACAGGCTCCGGGAAATCGTACACAATGATGGGGAAATCGAATGATGAAAAGGTTAGTGAGCTTTCAAAAGCTACAATACCTAAAGCTAAAGCTACAATACCTAATCTCCAAAGTGATCTTATTGATTGATCTTATAGGAAATGGGGATAATCCCTCGCTTGTGCAACGATCTCTTCGGGCGAATTGAGTCGAATCGGGAGAACATCAAGTACTCGGTCGAGGTTGGGTAAATTCAAACAAAAACAAAAAAGCAGCTCGATTCTATTATTGGAAATCTTTATGGACATCTCGTAGACTACCGTACTGAGTGTTTTTAATATCTAAAGAATTGTCTTTAGATCTTTAGATGTCTTTAAATCTTTAGATCTTTAGATGTCTTTAAATCTTTAGATGTCTTTAAATCTTTAGATCTTTAGATGTCTTTAGATCTTTAGATCTTTAGATGTCTTTAGACCTTTAGATCTTTAGACTTTTACCGTAATTCTCCGATTTTCAGGTTTCCTATATGGAGATTTACTGCGAACGCGTGCGCGATTTGCTCAATCCGAATTCGAGCGGTAATTTAAGGGTGAGCAGATTAAACTAGTCAAACTTTTATATCGTTTTTATATACCGTAAATACTTTAATCGTACCCCACCCTCCTCGTAGACATTTTTAGCGTAATTCTCCGATTTTCAGGTTTCCTATATGGAGATTTACTGCGAACGGAACGGGTGCGCGATTTGCTCAATCCGCAAAAATTTTTTAGTATTTCATTTTTTTCAAAGCTCTCGTACTTTCAAAAAATGCGTCTTTGGTATCAAGAAATAGCTGAAAATCAGGGCTATTTTTTGATACCTAAGCGCACATTGTAGCATAAACCAGTGTCGAGAAAAACTCGTTCAAAGCTAGACTACGCAACGCTCCACAGCGTCATTATGGGGGCGGGGTACTATTACAGTATTTACGGTATCTATAACTTTAAATAACTCTTTTATGATCTTTACAATTTCCCCTAGGTTCGCGAGCATCCCCTTCTTGGACCTTATGTCGATGATTTAACAAAAATGGCTGTTGTCAGCTATGAGGACATTGTGAATCTGATGGATGAAGGGAATAAAGCGAGGTGAAAAGATCCGGATACTGTGTGCTCTTGTAAACGCAAGCCTTCTGGTGCACTGGGCTCTTTATTCTAGAAGAACGCTAGAAATCGCTAGAAGAACACAGATTCCAGTGCATCAGAAGATTGCCAAGAAGCAAAAAGTCCACAAAGTCGAATTAGTCTGTTGTGATCTTGCAAACACACCCTTTCTGGGAAACTTAATTGAAAATTCGTGTTTAGAACAGTTGCCGCAACGAATATGAATTCAACCTCATCGCGATCGCACGCTGTTTTCACTATTGTTCTCACACAGAAGCGACACGATGAAGCTACATCGTTGGACACGGAAAAGGCAATTTTTAGATACAAAGGCTTAGTTTTTAGTTATAAAGAAGATAAGAGGAGACTCTTATCTTCTTTATTAACTTGATTTGATTCAACAAGCTTGACTTTTAAACTAAAAACAAAAATACAAAATGGTTGAAAACGGTGGGGACTCGAACCCCGGCCTAAAAGGTGACAGCCGGGGATACCAACCACTATACTACCGAGGAGACTGTCGGTCGTGAGAGAAATCGACTGATAAAGGCCACCAGTTCAAAGCCAGTTTAAATCTAAAATGGATATTTTGAAATTGCTGGCGGTAAAGAAGCAGAAATGTCAAGCAAAGAATAAACCTAAGGTTTGATTTGATGGATTTAAATTCTTTAAAGAAACGCCAATGCTAGAGCCGATTTTTCTGGTGAATCGCCTGGTTCTGGTGAAGCTGCATAGTGTTATGTGACATAGCTTAACTATCCTTAACTATCTCTTATTATCATACCTCTCTTATCTTATCTCTTATTATCATAGCTTCAATATCTCTTATGTCTTAGGTGGCCAAGATCTCGTTGGTCGATCTAGCCGGTTCGGAGCGAGCGAAATCCACAGGAGCCGAGGGTCAACAACTCAAAGAAGGCGCGAATATCAACAAATCGTTGACGACTCTCGGATTGGTGATCAGCAAGTTAGCTGAAGAGGTTTGGGAAATGAGGCTTTCAATTATAGATCAAACGTGAAAAGCTCTAATAAATGCCCGGTGATTTGTGGTTGCAGAGTTATCCTCACTATTAGACTCTTGCTACTAGTTTCAACCGTGATCCTCACCTAATCTTAATATAGAACTGTTATAGTATTGGCCTAGCTCTAACCTAGTCCTATCCTTGATCTGATCCGAGCCATAGACGAGGGCTAGGATGCCAGGTGATAGTTCTAACCCATATCTATCTTGGTCTTCATCTGTACTTACTATTAGTTTTGCTTCTAGTCCAGATCCAAATCCTGGCCCTGGTCCTCTTGAACCAGGATGCTTACCTACTGGGCTAAGTTTGGTTCATAGCCTTGGCCTGATTCATAGCCTTGAACTGATTCATAGCCTTGAACTGGTTCATAGCCTGGTTCATAGCCTTGAAATGGTTCATAGCCTTGGCCTGGTTCATAGCCTCGTTCAGAGCCTTGGCCTGGTTCATAGCCTTGATCTGGTTTATTCGTGTACCCTAGCCTTAATAATTATAAACTCTTGATCCTGATCATGCTGTTCGTCTGATCTGGGTTTAATCGAGGCTTGTCTTTCTAGATTTCACCTTCACTTTCAATCATGAATCAACGAGTCAAGCATAACAAAGTCAAACAGGCAACGAATGAAGCCAATCGGCCGGGCTTTTATCAGAGCTTATCCAGTGAAATCTAATTCAAATTCAAACTTCGATCAGGACGAAAAATTTCTTTATTTTTCTAGGCCGAAAGCGAAAAGGTGAATTGACAAACAGAGAGACAAAGAATCCTTGGTTTAATTTTACAAAAAAAAAAAACTGCAATATTGCGTATAAGTTCTTGTGAAATTTTTTGTTTATTTTGCATGATTTGTGAAGAAGAAATTTTAAGTACAAAAAAATCTTTAGCTAAAAATTAAAAAGCTTAAACTAAAAGTTAAACTTTCCGAAAATAATCGCATGAAAAATTTTGCGTTTTTGCTGATTGGATAAATGCAAATTCTTGTACAAAGTGGTTTTGTGTGAAAAGAAAAAAAAAATGGTTTAATGGTCCAAAATCCAATCACAGCATGAAAGGAAATATTGAAATTCTCACAAGAATAGTGCCGTGAAATCTTTTTTGGTGATTAAAAGTCGACAGTTTTCTCGAGAAAGCACAAAGCACAAACACTTTAGATTTCAAATTCTAAAAAGTAAATTCGAAAGAGTAATTTAGAAAGCTATCCTCATCTAAGCCTACCGTAATTTAGCGACAATTGTAATTGTAGCAAGAAACCGTGATTTTGAAGCAATGAAAGACCCTAGTTAATGCAGAAACCATTACTTTATTACGGTACTTTATTACGGTACTTTATTACGGTACTTTATTACGGTACTTTATTACGGTACTTTATTATGGTACTTTATTATGGTACTTTATTATGGTACTTTATTATGGTACTTTATTATGGTACTTTATTATGGAACCTCTTTTCCTATCCGTTTCCTAAAACCTTTTGAAACTACTTTTACAAAAATCAAAAATTCTGGCGGAGATCGGGCTCGAACTCGGACCCAACGAGCTGCGAGCCTAGCCCACTGACCACTCGGCCACGGCGTCATGTTGGCGAGGGGCTCAAAATAGCTTCTAACTCGTGTGGTCAGATAATTAACACTCGAAAACACTTTTTTCTACACAAACTTCAAACGGATTAAAATCGAAAATTTGAATTCATTACAAATTACCGTAATATCGTAATACCTCCACTAATAGCGCTCACCTAAAATGACGATCAGAGCGTCGCGTAGTCTAACTTCAAGCCCATTTTTCTCGCCATCCTTTTATGCTATAGTGTGCGCTTAAAAATTAAGTGAAAACTGAAATTCAGGGCTATTTTTTCATACCAAAAATTAGCGCTTAGAAAAAAATGATTTACTAAAAGATTTTCAGCCACTACGCGACTGTACGGTAGAGATTCAGATTCAGTGAAAAATTTGCTACAAAATAGGCTAATTTCAACTTGGAAATAGACAAAATAAACAATAAATCGACAACGATTTCTAGTGAATTACTGTAACCAATAAATCGACAACGATTACCGTAACCAATAAATCGACAACGATTACCGTAACCAATAGATCGACAACGATTACCGTAACCAATAAATCGACAACGATTACCGTAACCAATAATCGACAACGATTACCGTAACCAATAGATCGACAACGATTACCGTAACCAATAAATCGACAACGATTACCGTAACCAATAGATCGACAACGATTACCGTAACCAATAGATCGACAACGATTACCGTAACCAATAGATCGACAACGATTACCGTAACCAATAAATCGACAACGATTACTGTAACCAAGCGCCAAACGATTTGACGAAAAAATTGAGTCAAATCAAATGTCGTGTTACTTTCTTTTTTCAAGCTCATTCAGCTGAATGTAGTTCTTTTCATCTTTTATCAAATTCTGTGCACCAGCTACCGTGCGATTCCGTAGTTTCTGTGGAAAACACTTTAAGACTTTTCATTGCCAATTTCACGGCTATCAATTTTATTTTTTAAAAAAGTTTTAGGCTGGGAAAAAGAAAGGAAAAGGGAAGCCAGTTGTGCCGTATCGAGATTCGGTGTTGACGTGGTTGTTGAGGTGAGTGAAAAGGCTTGGGTTGAGGCTCTAAAGTCTGCCCCGACTCTAGAGTCTGTCTCGGTTACCGTAATCCGGGTTACACTAATCTTTACGACTGTGGAAACGTCTTCTTGGGTTACTGTAACACCCGTAGTACTCGTTTTTTACTCGCCAACTCGGGTAGACGTTTTAAAGCAGGCTTAGCTAGCGTAACGGGCTACAGGCATAGTAAAAGCTGCTTGGGCTACTGTACTGAATTAGTGACTGGCTTACTGACTGGCTTACTGACTGACTGACTTACTGACTGGCTTACTGACTGGCTTACTGACTGGCTTACTGACTGGCTTACTGACTGACTGACTTACTGACTGGCTTACTGACTGGCTTACTGACTGTCTTACTGACTGCCCTACTGACTGTCTTACTTACTGACTGACTAGTTACTCCCTCGGTTTATTTCTACGATATTTAAGCCAATTTTTGTCCAAGCCACAATTGGCTGTTGAAAAAGAAATTCCCAATTTTCAGAGAAAATCTTGGTGGCAACTCGAAAACAGCAATGGTTGCCGCACTTTCACCAGCTGACATCAACTACGAGGAAACACTCAGCACATTAAGGTTCAGCTTTTTGCCTGAAATAAGATCAATTCTCCTTAAAAAATCGAACTCTTTCTGGTTCTACAAATGTAGAATTTGTGCAAGAATATAGCAAAAGGGTAAAAAATTGTTTCCAAAAAAATTAGAGCATACCCTTTTGACGACGATTTGTTTTGAGTGAGTACTTTTCCTAATTCCTAATTCAAATCTTTCCTTTTAAAGCTTTGAATCCAGTAATCAATGAAAGATTTAGATATGCTGATCGTGCTAAGCAAATCGTTTGCCAGGCAATTGTCAACGAGGATCCAAACGCGAAACTGATCCGAGAGCTGAAAGAAGAGGTGGGAAATTGTAGTCAAACATTAATTTTAAAACATTAAAGTGTAAAATCTCATTTCTCAGGTCAACAAACTGCGTGCGATTTTGGATGATAAAGGGATTGACTCATCCGAATGGGATCCATCACAAGCACAACATTTGCAACGACCGAAAGCCTTATTCTCAGCCAGAGACAATGAAACGATTGAACAGTTGAAGGTGGAGGGTTTAAAAGTGATCGATATTTACTTTAAAACTGTCAAAACTCTATCTGAATAAGATGCCTTGAACAGAGATCATTTTACAGACAACTTTAAGAAAAATCCAGTTGTTCAAGGTAAAACCAGGTTACTGTCCCAGTCTGAACCAGATTATGGTACTGATCTGGTTCAGACTTCAAACAGAAAAGATAACAAGCAGAGCTAAACAGTCTGAACCAGATCAGTACCCTAATCTGGTTCAGACTAGCTCAGGAATCTTATTTAGAACTAATTAAAAAGCTGAAAGCTGAGAACTATGAATTATTTTCGTAAAATTAAGAAAAGCAAAAAAGAATTGCTGGGTGAGGACCCGAACTCAAGCAAAGTGTATCTAGTCCGCTTTGTATTTGGGTCTCTTATCCACTGCGCCAAGAGATTATTGTAGCTTCCCGCTGACAGAAGCCTTTTAAGCGAGATGTCGTCAACTTCTAGATATCTTCCAAGTCCCAGTGATCACTACCTTAATCTACCATAAATCTATCATTCTACCATAACCCCAGTAATCCCAGCTACCGTAATCCCAACTACCGTAATCCCATAACTGTACGAAGCCTGGATAAGACAAATTTTAATCTGAAGCCCAGAGAGGCAAGGTAACGTCAGAAATCATCATCAACCCGAAAAGATAACAAGCAGAGCTAAACAAAACCAATTTACGCTTAAAATCTGACTCACAAAGAGCCTGGATCCAGTTTAGTCTTGATCAGTTCATGCTCAGACTACGGTATGCCATATTTTAAAGCACTTACCGTCTACTAGAATGGAATAAAGCTTGCCCATCTACCGTAGCTTTCGCTTAGATCTTTACTGGTTACGATTTATCAACTTTAGGCCTCCGAGAAGCTGATGAACGAGTTGAAAGAAACTTGGGAGCAAAAATTGGCGAAAACGGAAGATATCCGAAAGCAACGGGAAGAGGAATTACGGTAAGATCTTTGCCATTTCTTTTATTTTATTTTTACTTTAGTGAGATCGGGCTCGCTTGTGGTGAAGACGGGAATACGTTGGGCGTTTTTTCGCCAAAAAAATTGCCACATCTCGTGAATTTGAATGAAGATCCGCTGATGAGCGAATGCTTGCTCTATTATCTCAAAGAGGGAGTGACCAAGTGAGGAAATTAAAGTAAAATGGAAGAAAAATTGAGAGCTAAGGCAATAATACGATCGTTATTTGAAAATTTCGTTGCTTTTTTGCCCTTTTTAAGTAGCAGACTGTTCTGGATTTTGTCACTTTTCTAGAGTCGGTCGTCCGGAAGCAAATCCCCGTCCGGATATCCTCCTATCTGGGCAGAATATTCAAGAGGCACATTGTGAATTCGTGAACGAAGACGGAAGCGTTTCGCTTTTGCCAAAGAAGGTTAGTGATTTAAGAAGAATTTCTAGAGAAAAGCTAAAGGAAAAAAATGAGCAACTCAGGGAGAAAAGGGAAATCTCTAACCGCTCCTTTCTCTTTACCGCTTCCAAAAAGCCAAGCACCCCATACCAGGGCCATTTGCCAGATGCTGAGCGATTGTACTCTCGTACAAAGAACACCTTGCCGTCACTTTGGCCAGGGATTCTTGGCTTGGCTAAATTCTTGGCTAAATGGCCCAAAAAGATAGCTATAAAATTATACCCACGGCTTTTCGGAGCAAGCAAATCGATTGGCGCTATTCATTTTGTCAGATCTACCAATTAGAGCCTTGAGTCGAGACGAGTTTGAATATTTTTCTAATCTTTGATTAATTTTTAAGCGCACCATCCTTCCAATCATTTCTCCAATTCCAGGGTTGTGATTGTTTCGTGAACGGTCGTCCGATCACTTCACCAACCGTTCTTCACACTGGTTCGAGAGTGATTCTCGGAAAATATCACGTCTTTCGATATAACGATCCACAAGAGGCCAGACAGAGTCGTCACAATTTGGCCGCCTCCTGCACGGGAATAATGACGACGAGTGGAGGCGAGTGCTTTGGAATTGAATCGATAAATGATCTGAAACTGAAATTGATCTTATCTAGCCTTATCTAGCTAAGATCTAAAATTTTAGAACAACCACTCGACTGGAAATACGCTCAACAAGAGCTCTTGGAAAAACAGGGGATCGATTTGAAAGCGGAAATGGAAAGGAAACTCTGCGAAATGGAGAGTCAATATAGAAGAGAAAAAGAGGAAATGGAATTGATCATGATGAGGCAAACAAAGGTTTCAATTTGAATTTGAATTATTGAATCTCTGATCATTGAACTTGAATGATCAGAAATCTCTGAGCTGTTGTAGTCAGGCCTCAAGGGTCAGTCCAGAAGTCAGCTAGCTTCCGGCTATGCCTGAGTTTCCCTTAGGCCTGTAGGGTCAGTCCAAAAGTCAGCTAGCTTCGGGCTATGCCTGGGTTTCCTTTAGGCCTGTAGGGTCAGTCCAAGAAGTCAGCTAGCTTCTGGCTCTGCCTGGGTTTACTGTAAGTCTAGGGTTCACCAGGAGTAAGTCCTAGGCTTGGGCTAATTGTTCTAGAGTTAGTTCTATAGAGCCCAGGCTAGTTGTCCAATCTAATCTAAGCAGGTTTGGCCCTATTTGACCTAGCCTGCTTGGGTTACAAATCTCAGTTTCACAGCTTATGAATTGGCTCAATTTGCATAACTAATGTAAATCCTAGAAGTCAATTTATCTTCTAGGAGTACGAGACTCGAATCGAGGTCCTTCAGCGACAAGTCGATCTCGCACAATCGATGATCTCGTCGACGTGCTCGAATTGGGAAGGAGAGCGCTTCTTGACCTCATCACTTCTGCAATTTGGTAATTTTTGGACTAGAATTAAGCCAGGCGAGATTGGGCTTCTGATAGTAAGCTAACTAAAGAGCTGCTTCAACATAGCAACGATTTAATGTGATCAGCCATCAGATTTAATGTGATGGGAAAAGTGACCAGCCGGTATAGTGGATAGTGTACTCGCCTTTCACAACAGTTAACCCTTGTTTGAATCCCCTCACTGTTAAAACCTCTTTGCTTTTTTGTTAAAGCACTAAAACTAAAACCAGATGATGCTCCTGGAAATGGCAAAAAATTGCTCTTCAGGTTTTCTTTGAAAATGTAAGCAAGCCTGGATCTGGGCTCTGGTTTGAGCCAGTAAAGCCAGGATGTCCATCATTTGCAAGAATTGTTCTATTCTTGACCTAGAATATTTAAGTTTACATTGTATTAAACGACAATATCGAATATTCCCGACAATACGCTTCACCAGTGGGGCGTTCAAATGATTATTTTTCATGATTTGAAAGATTTTTGTTATATATTTATTGAAAGTGGAGAAAAAACGACTATAGTACAGATATACCGCCTATCTAAGACCCAACAGGGTTGATCAAAAACTTGTGCGCCGCCAGGACTCGAACCTGCAACCTTTCGCTTACCAGGCAACTCAGTGACTTTTTCCTAGCTTTCAAGAGGAGATACAGAGGATATTTTTGAATTTTTCATTAAATTATCATTGAAATAATTAACAACTACGCGGCTGTACGAAGCTACGCGGCTGTACGGAGCTACGCGGCTGTACGGAGCTACGCGGCTGTACGGAGCTACGCGGCTGTACGGAGCTAGCGGCTGCGGAGCTACGCGGCTGTACGGAGCTACGCGGCTGTACGGAGCTACGCGGCTGTACGGAGCTACGCGGCTGTACGGAGCACGCGGCTGTACGGAGCTACGCGGCTGTACGGAGCACGCGGCTGTACGGAGCTACGCGGCTGTACGGGCTACGCGGCTGTACGGAGCTACGCGGCTGTACGGAGCTACCGGCTGTACGGAGCTACCGGCTGTACGGAGCTACGCGGCTGTACGGAGCTACGCGGCTGTACGGAGCTACGCGGCTGTACGGAGCTACGCGGCTGTACGGAGCTACGCGGCTGTACGGAGCTACGCGGCTGTACGGAGCTACGCGGCTGTACGCCTAAAAGCCGAATTTCAGCCGAGGAGTGCAAGTGGAGCCCGGAACAGGAGCGAATCGCGCGACGAGTGGCCGTCAAATGGAAGTAAGTGCTATTCAAAATCGATTCTTATACTTAAATAAATAAATAAATAGAGCTTTTTTTAATCTTATATATCAAAATACTTGTTTAAAAGACCATTTTAGATATCACCAATTCACCTCAGTCCGTGACGATCTCTGGGGAAACGCGATTTTCATCAAAGAAGCCAACGCGATCTCGGTTGAGCTAAAGAAAAAGGTTTGGGGAAATCGCGACAAAGCTTTTAACATCTCTTAGACATTGATTTCACTTGAAATCCAAAATTCCAGGTTCAATTCCAATTCGTTCTTTTGACGGACACAATGTACTCTCCACTCCCACCCGATCTTTTGCCTCCAGGCGAAAATCTTTCACTGAGACCTTATCCGAAAACAGTTGTCGCCATACAGGTTTGTTTGTGGAGAAAAAAACGACTAAAGTACATATTTTCTATGACCCAACTGGGAAAGATCTATGACCCAAGTTGGAACTGAGAAAGATCAAAAACTGTTCGCCGCCGGGACTCGAACCTGCGACCTTTCGCTTACCAGGCAACTGTGCTAACCATTAGACCAAAAGGCACTTTATCTCCCTCAAAAAAAAAACCCAATGAACCTTTAACCCATGCAAAAACTCAATAAAACTTGAAAATTGTGAGCGTGAAGAAATTAGGAGCTCGGTGATAGAAGCCTTTTCTCGTCGAGGCTCGCTAATGAATGCTTGGCCTAGTGGTTAGTGTGCTCGCCTTCGAGACTTTTCCTTTCGGGTTCGATTCCTCTTGCGACCAGAGATTTTCCTTTCGCTATTTTTCTTTTGCAAACAAGATTTTAATGTTTTTCTTTCGTAATTTTAAGGTTTTTTTATGAAGAATTTATTAATAACTTTGAAAAGAGCCAATTAAATCTTGAAAAGAGCCAATCCTATAGGCTGTCAATTTTAGGCTCCAGCATCCATTACAGTAAGCTAGCTAAGCTTTTAACTGGAATTTTTAGCTAAAAAATCAGCACTGAATATTTAGATACTTTTCAAAACTCTTTACAATCAAATTTTCCAGGTTCAAGACCTCAAAAATGGCGCCACTCACTACTGGAGCATCGAGAAATTGAAGTAATCCTTTGAACTTCTAAACTAACTTCTTGTAGTACTTTATAGTCTAATATTTGCGGGTTTTTTTTCATCTTTTGTAGTGGCATTTAGCTTTAGATTATCGAAAAATAGGGGAGTGGGACGAATGCGACCTTTTTTTGCGCACCCGGACATTTGCGCACCTTTTTTTCCGCACCTTGCCCATTAGCGCACCTTTTTTCGCGTTTTAAAAAGCTCTAAAAAGCTAATATTAACGAATTTCTATTCCAAAAGTTGTTTTTCTAGGTAATTTTAGGGCGTAGAATCGAAATTTTGGCATATCAGAGCTTGTGGAACCAATTTGAAAGACAAAAACGGCTAGTTACAGAAAATTGTTGATTTTTCTCTTTGTATAACTCCGTTCGTTCGCTTCCACAAGCTCTGATATGTCAAAATTTCGATTTTACGCCCTAAAATTAGCTAGAAAAACAACTTTTGGAATAGAAATTCGTTAATACCGTATTTACTCTATTAGTGGGGTCCCCCACTATTTTTTCAATCCCCTTCCAGACGACCCCACTATTAGAGAGGACCCCATTATTAGAGAAATTTAGAAGAACATAAAACCAAAGTTTTAAATTGAAAAGATATCAATTTTTCTCCGAAATTCTTGACAAAACAAGTTTGGCTTCATATTTTATTTAGCTTTAACCGTAACAAAACATTAACAAACAGTAAAAGAACTAATCCAAGAGATCAACAATTGATGTATCACTTTCGTTACCAATATCTTCTTCCAATTCGAGAGGACCCCACTATTTTTTCAACCCCCCTCCAGACGACTCCACTATTAGAGAGGACCCCACTATTAGAGAGGACCCCACTAATAGAGTAAATACGGTATTAGCTTTTTAGAGCTTTTTTAGCTTTTTAAGCTTTTTTAAAACGCGAAAAAAGGTGCGTTAATGGGCTAAGTGCGGAAAAAAAGGTGCGCAAATGTCCGGGTGCGCGAAAAAAAAAAAGGTCGCATTTGTCCCACTCCCAAAAATAGTGATGGTCTCGTTTTTTCTTTGTCTCATTTCATTCGTTTTCTTCATTTTGTTTGCCATCGGGAGGCCATAAAGAAGCCAAAAAGTACTAATTTCAACTCGATTTTATAGCAAAATTTGTAGATGATAATGTGTTTTTCTCAAAGAAACCGTAAATCCACAAAAATCCAAACTACCTTCAACTTTCTTAAAGCTATCGTAACTCTAATGACTCTAATGATCTCTATCTTTGTCTACCGTAAGAACTACCAGTAATCCCAGCCACCGTAATCCCATTCCTTCAATTAAACTGCCTAAACTATTGGATAAAAGACTCGAAACAGAGTACGGTAGCTTTCTACACCTTGTAGAGCGGACAGTCAGATTATGGTAGCTTTCTCCACCTTTTAAAAAAAAACTCTAATCAACGGGAGAACCTTTGACTAGAATAAGGCATACATCTGGGCCTATAGGCTTTACATAAAGCTTTGAGAAAAGCACAAAGTGTCTTTTTGTTGCAGACAACGCTTGGAAGAGATGCGATCGTTTTACAATGCCGAAGTGAGCGAGATCGGCACACCGATAGAAGGGATCCCGCAAAGAGGAGGGATCGGACAATTGGGCGATGGGGGATGGCTGGCTGCACTCTCGCTCAATCCAGCACGACTCATACCGGACAGGTGGTTATGAAGTGAGGAAAAGTGGTGACTACAAGGGATTGAGGATTCAAATTTCTTGAATTTTCTAGATTAGGAGCTGTAGGAGTACTGTAGAAGCTGTAGAAGTACTGTAATAGCTGTAGGAGTCGTATAGGATCTGTAGGTGTACTGTAGAAGCTGTAGGTGTACTGTAGGAGTACTGTAGCTTCTAAATAGTACTTTGAGAGCTGTATGGAGTACTGTAGCTGCTACATGGGAACACGGATACTCTAGAAGTACTGAAGTTTCTATTTGAAGTAGTCTAACAGCTTTAGAGGGCACTGTAACTGTTATAGAAATACTGTACAAAATATTCCAACTTTTCGTAAAACCTCAATCCCTCGAAATCCGCCCAGAAAGTCCACTTAAAACCCTAGCAAAAGTTCGAGTCTCAAAACGGCAATCTAGGCAAACCGATGGCAAGCTATTTTCTGTGTTTCCCTTGTTGAAATGTTTAGAATCAGCTAGACAGATCGAGTAATTTCCTTAAATTTCAGGCAACGCTTGGAGTCGATGAGAGATTTGTACGAGACTGAGGGTGAGATGAGCCCGGTGAGTCCGGAAGATCCGATGATGGAAGCATTGATGGGCACTGATCCTTTCTATGATCGATTCCCGTGGTTCAGGATGATTGGAAGGTGGGTTGGGGGATAAAATCCAGGATCAGGGGTACTGTAGCATACTGTAGCTGATGAAGGACGGGGCTGCAGCCAGACTTCAGCTTCTAAATTGAGTACTGTATCTCTAGGGGACTGTAGATGTCATATGAGGTACTGTGAGGCTACGGTAGACGCTGTAAGGGTATTGTAATCGCTATAAACGACTTTCCGGCTCAGCCAAGGACAGACCAGGTACTGTAGCTGATGGAGGAGTACTGCAGCGTACTGTAGCTGTGTAGGACAGGGCCGCAGCTTCTACATTGGGCACTGTATCTTCAGGGGTATTGCAGATACGATCTGAGATACTCTAAGTCTTCGGTAGACGCTGTAAGGGTACTGTAATAGCTATAAACAACTTTTCGGCCAGATACTGTACGGCCACAGCCAAGGCCAGGTCTGAGCCAAGGCCAGGTCTGAGCCAAGGCCAGGTCTGAGCCAAAGCCAGGTCTGAGCCAAGGCCAGGTCTGAGCCAAGGCCAGGTCTGAGCCAAGGCCAGATCAGGTACTCTATTAAGGAGTACTGTAACTGCAAGACAGGTTACTGTCATCACTAGATAGGCTACAGTAACTGCTGCTGGTTTAAGACACAAAAAACAGAAACGCACACCCTCTGCACGCACTTGATCCTTGATTTTTCAGAGCTTTCGTTTATTTATCGAATCTCCTTCATGACGTTCCGTTGATTCACAAAGTGGCTGTGGTGAATGAGAAAGGCGAAGTGAAGGGATATCTTAAAGTGGCGATTGAACCGATCAGAAAAGGTAGTTAAAGATAAAAAGCTAAACTCTAGAAAGATCTAAATATCCCAATATCTATCTACAAAATTCTGTTGTAGGCGAGAAAGAGCCTCCACAAAAGAGCGGCGTTCGTCAAATGGCTCGGCTTCATTTCCGACGAGAGGATTTCCTCAAAGCCGTTCACCACAATGCTAAAGGTAAAATGATTGTTTGGCTATATTTTCTAAAAGATGCGCTTCATGGTACTCTTGCTCTTGCTCTTGCTATCTTTCTTAAAACTTAGACGCTAAAATGCGAATGAACTAGTGATTGTTTGCCCGGGTATTACCCTCTCTCCCTTATTGTTTCTTATTTCTTCTTTTGGAAACAAGGTGCCAATAGCTCAGTGGTAGAAAAGCCTTCAATAGCCTTCTGCTTCGTAAGCAGAAGGTTCAAGGAGAAGGTCGAGGGTTCAATTCCGTTTAGTTCCAAATTGTTTTTCAAATTTTTTTACTTGATTACTGTTAAGGTTACAACTCTTAATGTTAAACTAAAAGTCCTAGAAGTCCTGTTAGAACTAGAACTAGAACTAGAACTAGAACAACTAGAACTAGAACTAGAACTAGAACTAGAACTAGAACTAGAACTAGAACTAGAACTAACTAGAACTAGAACTAGAACTAGAACTAGAACTAGAACTAGAACTAGAATTATAAGACTCGAACCATAAAGAACAGAAAACACAATTGAAGTAGGTTAAACCTGCAATAGCCGTAATACTAACTAATAGTTGCTCTAGCAGCTGTAGCAACTCTAGAAGTACAATAGCTGTCAAAAAAAAGCGCTGTAATTGCTCACAGGGTATAGTAGAAGCTGTAGGGGTACTTTGACCTATATTACCTACAGTAACTACGAAATAATAATATGTACAGCTTTAGCCGAGCTCTCGGTCGACTACCCGAAGCACATGTCCGAAGATGAGATTTTCTCATTTCGCGTTGTTGTTTTGCAAGCCACTGATGTCTCCGATCAGTACACTGATGTTTTCTGTCAATTCAAGTAAGGTTTTCAAAGAAGGGATCTTAATGGCGTCATGGCCGTCATGGCAGGTCTGGCCCAAGGTCAGGCCCAAGGTCAGGTCTGGCTAAGAGCCAAGTCTCTTAGTCGAAAGGTCAAAGGTTCAATTCCGTCACTGAGATTTTTGGTTTCTTTTTCTAGATTTACGGTTGTACTTTTGTATTGCTCGTACTACATTATATTGTATGTAAAATGGCTTGTAAGATAGCTTGTAAGATAGCTTGAAAGATAGCTTGTAAGATAGCTTGTAAGATAGCTTGTAGGATAGCTTGTAAGATAGCTTGTAGAATAAAATCTCAATTTAATCGATTATTCAGTTTCCTTCACCGTCACGATGAGGCTTTTTCCACAGAGCCGATGAAAAACACATCGAAAACCGGCCTCAACTTTAATCATATTCAGAATTTAAATATCAAAATGGGACGCACTTTTCTTCACTATATTCATCATTTTCCAATCATATTTGAAGTAGATTTTTGAGTTTTTAAAAAGTTTATCAAAAATTATAGGTCTTTGGTCATTATCAACAGCAACCATCGGGTTTCCATTTCGAACGACAGAGTAGTCAAGTCTTGAGGTGAGATCAGAGTTCGCTCAGCAATCAGCAGCTTCGCAGCAAAAAAAATTGGCTACCAGAGGAGTCGAACCCGCGACCTATCTCTTTCTCGTTCGTTTGAGAGACATTAACCACTCGACAAGGAGATGGCGCTGTGCGAGCGCGTTTCTCTCTAGCCCACACGAGCCGGGTTCGACTCCCGCCGCGCGTCTGCACTTTTGGTTTTTTAAAAATTTTTAAACATTTTCTAAACACAAAGCTTAATAGAAAAAAAATCAAATTCGAAATCTTATTTTGAGCCGTCGAATGTCAACGACTCAACTCTTCCCGGCTCCATCGCTTGTCATTTCCACTCCCGTTAAGAGCAAGAAAGCTGTCGCCATGGCACCACAAAGGTTTGGTCTTGATTTGTGGGAAATCTAACGAAAATTTGAATCATTCAAAGTAAATTGGGAGTGTAATTATGGTAATATCTGAAATTGGTGTTTTGCAGTCAAAGCTTTGATTGTAATCAAAATGACAATGGGAATGATTGTAATCAAAATTACATTGGAATGACTGTAATCAAAATGACATTGGATGTAATCAAAATGATAATGGGATTGATTGTAATCAAAATTACATTGGAATGATTGTAATCAAGATTACAATGGAATGATTGTAATCAAGATTACAATGGGATTGATTCTAATCAAAATGACAATGGAATGATTGTAATCAAAATGACAATGGGGCTAATTGTAATCAAAATGACATTGGAATGATTGTAATCAAGATTACAATGGAATGATTGTAATCAAGATTACAATGGGATTGATTCTAATCAAAATTACATTGGAATTATTGTAATCAAGATTACAATGGAATGATTCTAATCAAAATGACATTGAAATGATTGTAATCAAGATTACATTGGAATGATTGTAATCAAGATTACAATGGGATTGATTCTAATCAAAATGACATTGGAATGATTGTAATCAAAATTACAATCAATCCCATTGTAAAAAATTACAATCAATCCCATTGTCAGCCGAGGAAAAGCTCTAGATTTATTAATACAAATATCAAACAAAATATCCATTCATAAAAACCAATCTTTACCTATTCCAGCCCAACGCCAATCCGCAGCAAGTACGATTTGCTGGCTTGGTTCGAGATTTGCGAGCTTGCCAACAATGGAGAATATGTGCCAAGTATTAAAGAGAAATTAATATAAAAATACAAAAAGAAATCTCTAATTTAAATACTTAAAAGCTGAATTCCATAGCCTTTCAAGGATCGATTCTCACTAAAATCAAATTGATAGATCGTAAATAACAGTTTAACAAGATTTACAACTCAACATCTTCTCAAAATCAATCAAAAAAAATTCTATTACTAAACCGATCTGGTTTCGTTCGTTTCGTTTTAGTGCGAATCGATTTTGATTTCACTCCTTTCAAATGATAGATTAGCTTCAAAGCTTCAAAATAAAACACTCTTAACCCTTTCAAACTTCTTTTAGCCATTGTTAACCCTTTTCAAACCTCTTTTAGCCATTGTTGACCACGCGCAGGGTGTGCCCACTCACGGGATTTTCCTACTTCATCAGGGGATTCAGCGGCGAATCAAAATCACAATTTGCCATGAAAAGGTGCGTAACGTAAATGGAAATCGTTTTATATTCAAAATGGCAGGGCGATTTGAAATGGAAAGAGTGCCAAGAGTTGGTGATCGGACGGATTAGAGCTGGTGCCGAGTGGACCGGCGATGACGTGGATGTGCTGTCGTTGGGGCTTTTCCCGGGCACCTATCTCGAGTTCACGCATGACGATAGGTAAAATTGAAGGGATAACTCTAAAATGAGCTCAATATCAAGATGCTACAATATTCTTTATCTCTTAGATTTCCGTAGCTACTGTAGCCTGTTACCGTAACCTAGCTATTATAGCCTGTTACCGTAGCCCGTCTAATATAGCCGGTTACCGTAACCTAGCTACTATAGCCCGTTACCATAACCTAGCTACTGTAGCCCGTTACCGTAACCCGTCTGCTATAGCCCCTAACCCAGCTAAAGCTATTGTAAATCTCTAATTGACAGATATCAATTTCCCTTAGTTATCTCCAAGCTAGCCACAGCAATCTTTACAACTCAGGAACTTTGTAACGGGTTACGGTAACCGGTATACGAGAGTTGACGCTCGGAAAATCATCCAGTGCATTGAACTTTCACTCTTTCAGAACGTTCTTCCAATTCGAGGCCGCCTGGGACAGCTCTCTTCACAATTCACCGCTTCTCAATCGTGTCTCGAATTACGGGGATCAAATCTACATGACATTGTCAGCTTATATGGATGTTGAGGGATGCTGCCAGCCGGCTGTTATCACAAAGGACCTTTGTGTGCTCATCTATGCAAGGGATAGTAAAATCTCGGTGGCAAGTCGGTGAGTGCTTTAGGCCATAGGCTACGCTTTTACTTAGTTAATGTAAAGATTTATTGTCCTAGAGACTAGAGACAAGACTGAATAACTTTAGCTCAAGACTTACAGTTCTCAAGACTTACAGCTCTCAAGACTTACAGTTCTCAAGACTTACAGCTCTCAAGACTTACAGCCCAGCCCAGCTGTAAGCCAAGAATCTTTGCGAGCTAAAGGGAAAGCAGATTCAGTTCCTGGACTTTCTGGACTGAAGCAAGCTTGTCCATTGTCAGAGTACCAAAAACTGTTATCTAAAGAGCTGTAAATTTCGTTCAATTTCTACAAATACAGTACGATTTTCCATTGTAGTTTCTGTCGTTCACTGATCGGCGGTATCTCGAAAGCTCCATCGATGAATCGCATTCCGGGTGTTTATGAAATCGCGATCAAGGACGCGTCCGACTCAGGTAACAGTCCAGGTGTGCCGGCTTGTTTAAACTAATGCTTGTTACAAAAATTTCTTTACTCTTTTGCAGTGTTTAAGCATGCGTTTTGTTAACACTTTTGCGTTATTTAGAATTTGAATACTGGGGATTTAAAAGCCCTAAAACAATTTAAAACAATCTACAGCACAAGATTTTCCTTTGAAAATTTGAATCTTCCAAATTTCCCCTCTCTTCAGGCGCTGTTCGTCGACAGCGTCGCGTTTTGGACACCTCATCGGCGTATGTACGTGGAGAGGAGAATCTAGGACAATGGCGTCCACGGGGTGACTCGTTGATCTTCGAACATCAATGGGAATTGGAGAAGTTGACGAGACTGCAGCAAGTTGAACGAGTCCGACTTTTCTTGCGCTTGAGGGAGAAGCTGAAGAAAGAGAAGAAGACGGTGAGTCGATGAATAACCAATAACCATAAACACCAATGAAAAGCCAACCAATGAAAAGCCATAAAGCGATCTTTAAGAATCCCTACAAATCTAAGCACTTAATCCAAAGAATTGTCTTGCAGCAAGGACCAAAAACCCCGGTTTCTCCATGTGATCCAGTGAGATCGATTCCTGATCAAGTGACGTTAAACGAAAAGGAGAAAGGCGTTGTGAACAAGGTGATAGAATAATAGACAAATAGAGCTATTGAATCAAAAAATATTCAGATTATTGATTTGATCAAGCGAAAGATCCCGGTAAACAAAGATCCACCAACAGGACGGCTCGAGAAAGATAAAGAGAGCGACGATAGTGGGAACAACTCAATCACATCACCCACCAGTGACAAGTCAGTGAAATCTAGGGTTTCACATCAAAGCCTGTAATAGTTTACATTCAAAAATTGTCCTGGATTTAGCCTTAAAGGTTAAATAGTCCTGTTCAAATAGTCCCGTTTAAATAGTCCTGTTAAATAGTCACTTTGTGTACAGTTCAATATAGTACAGTAACGATGTACGATATTTAACACTTAGAAGTGTTAAGAGTGTTTTATTTTGAAGCTAATCTATCAAATTCTTCTAGAGCAATGCGCTCATCGGATCCAGAGGTGCCAGTGGAGAAATCTTTGACGAAAGGCGGTCTTGCTCCATCCGATACACTATTCGGAATGAAGCGATCACCGAGCGGAAACGCTTTAGCGATGCTTATTCCAGAGGTTTGCTTATTCCAGAGGTTTCACGCTATGATAGTTATAAAATGAAAGAGATTTGTACTCGTTTATCATCAATTCACTAATTCAGGTGACCGAGGAACGCGTTGGAGTTGTTGTCTCAAAGAAGGGTTATATGAATTTTCTTGAGGAGAAAACGCAAGGCTGGGTGAAGAAATGGGTGGTCGTTCGAAGGCCATATATATTGCTCTTCCGAGATGAGAAAGATTTGGTGAGGAATTGAGAAAAGAAATTTAGGCTTATTATCTTTTTTTACGCTAATCTAGACCTATTTCTAAGAAAATCCAAGCTCAAAAAAGCTCGTTTTGCATAAAATTTGATAAAAAGATGATATAAAGAAATTGGGTGAATAGTTTTGTGCTCAAAATTTAGCTTTCTACCTAACTTTTTGCGTTCTTTCGATTTCTTTGGGCTAAATGGGCTAAATGGGCTAAATCGCGTAATGAAGTCACCCCTTTTGACTCACCGAATTCACACGTCCAAACAAAAAAAATCAAAAACAAAACATTTCTTAAGATTTCAACGATCTTTTATAAAAACAAATATTAGACCTTTCTAATAGAGCAAATCGTAGATGAATGGGTGAATTCGTTATTTCTAAATAGCTTTTAAATAAATTATTCGTTATTCGTTATTTCTAAATAGCTTTTAAATAAATTATTCAAAGACTTATCGGCCAAAAACTTTTTGCGCTCTTTCTTTTTCGATTTTTTTTCTTTCGCAAAGGCATTAATTTGCAAAAACATTTACAAATTAAAGTTTTTCTCTTATAGCCGCATTTTCTAGGTGATTCGCGGGGTGATCAATCTTGCCAATTCGCGCGTCGAATACAGCGAGGATCAGCAAGCGATGCTCAAAGTACCGAACACGTTTTCCGTACTCACCAATCATCGGGGTTTCCTCATGCAAACACTGCCAAATGATGAGGTAATTATAAAGTTTGTCGTAAATCCTCAAAAAAAAAAATTCTCACAAAATTGTCTATATTTTACAAAATCACTCCTTTTAGATGTACGAGTGGTTATACGCGATCAATCCATTGTTGGCCGGTCAGATTCGCGCAAGGCAAGCGGCTCAAGATGCAGCCACACAAAAGTCCCTTCCACCGATCGTTCAACCAGCGAATGGTCACAATTAAGCTATAGACTTGCCTGTGCTTTGATCTCTTGCAAACTTTCGTTATCTAGTGAACTGATTGTTCCTTGTGGGTCAAAAAAATTAGTAATTCAGTGCACAAGCCAAACTCGATTCGTACTTTGAGCTCTCATAAACGCTCGCTTTCTAGTGCACTGGTTTCTTTACTTTCTCACAGCTATCCGGTAAGAAAAAGAAACAATCAAGTGATGCACTAGAAAGCGGGCGTTTACGAGAAGAGCACAAAGTACGGATTACTTCTTGTTTGTATTCCGTTTTTTTTTTTCAAATCCGGTGTGATTAGGCACAATAATATAGGGTTTTCGTATAAATCAAAAAAAATCATGGCTAGTCAATTCTTTAATGCAAATTTCTCGGCTAGTTCTAGATATGCAAAAATCTCTTTTCACATTTCCTTCCCAAACAGATCTCTCCTCTTTCTTTCTCACTTCTGTGCGCATGTGCGTGTATTTTCTTTTTACATTTTATTTTTAGTGTTAATTGCCTTTAGCCTAGAAAAAATATTTGTTAGCTGAATATTTTCAATTTCTGTCGATTTGCCAAAAACACTCTCTCAAGTAGGGTCGATTTTCCGTTTTTTCGCAGCTTATTCTATTATTTATTTATTTTGGTAAATTTGAGATAAAACTTTTCAAATGAGTCAATAGATACTGTAGCGAGACATTTATTTACACTAAATTCCCCTGCACGAAATAGTTTGTTCACAAAATTCTCCGAATCATAGACACAATAACAAATAACAAACGAAAAAGAAGCACATTGAAGACACGAATAAAAATGAAATACGGACAAAGAAATGGGCTACAGAGATAAAGAGTAAGTACGGTAAAGACGTTGTTCTTTTCATTATCCACTAGACGGTTGTCGTCTCCTTCCACTTTCTCGACTGTCCGATGGGGCCGACTTTTATCCTGATTTAATTCCTCCACTCATCGGTTGTTGTAAGGCTCGACGACCGCTTTTGAGTGACTGAACCTGGAAAATGATGTACGTGAAATAGAGCAATGTTTCATAAATTCATGTCTACCGTAAAACATCCGTTAGTAGCTTTATAAAAAGTTCCTTACTTGTCCTTTATTTTGCGTAACTTCGGCCGACCGTACTAGCCTAACTTTTCCCTCAGCGGAGGCACGAGGAGACTGTGGTTGTGGCTAAATACAAAAAGATTTCAAGTGTTTCAGAAGTACAGAAGCGTTAGGTTTAGGGTTTTATACCGTATGAGGATGTTTAGGAAGTACTAAATGACAAAACAACCCAAACCAGCACTTTTTCAAAGCTATGCATTGGTGGCGTGAAGAGAACCTCGCGTACACTGTTCATTTTCTTCTGGGATCCCGTCAACGGTGGCAACTGCTCGAACAACTCATTCGCTTGCGTTTTATCGACACTTCTAACTGAAATTTAAAAGATTACTTTGTATTCTGGATAAAATTTACATCTATCTATGATACAAATTGCTAAAACCCACCCTTACTCTTGCTCTTTATAGGTGGAACCTTTCGGGATAAATTTGAGCCAGCGAGACGTTTCTTCACCTAAGAAAGAAAGCGTTTGGAACTTTGAGAAAAACTACAATACCTGATGTGGTCGATGCAGAACAAACATGTGCTTTCCAGAGGGCGGATTTCTTCTCCTCACCGACATCTCAATACGTTCAGCTAAGAAAACTCTATTGTATTTGAAAGAACAACACAAAATCCCACCCGATCCTCTCGATATTGCTTTGATTGACGGAAAGACGTGCTGAACGGTTGTCTCCTTGGTGCTGTGCTGTTGTTGTGATTGTGGTTGACTTGTTGCTGGAGCTCCTCCCTGAGCGACTGCTATTCTCGCCGATTTGTTCATCGCTGCATGAGCATTTTTGTTTGCTGTCCAAATTTCCTCAAATTCTCGCATTTCATCCAATCTGGCTTTTCTAAAAATAAACTATTACAAGGGAAAATCGGCAAAACAACTTTTCATGTCTCCAGCTAAGAATTTCACTGTCAAAACGGGGACGGGGAGGCTCGAAGCAAGTGACTAAACGAGAAAATTGGCGAAAATCGCTTTCAGAGTTAAAATACTCACAAATGAGAGAAATCGCCTGGATGAGTAAAAGTATCACAGCAAGCGGCAAAACAGTCGCGACATGCAGCCACCACGGTGCTAAGTACTCAGATCGAAACGTGAGCACCTAAAACAATCAGCTTAATCTCTAATCTCAACATTAAACTCACATCGTGATGCTTGCTGGTAAACTCCTCAATCGATGTGGGACGCATAAAGTTGCAAATTCTTCGGCCAACTTTATCCTCGGTGATGCTGTAGCCGGGTGGGCATTTGGCAATGCAATACTAAAAAGAAGCAATAAAATTTTTGCATTAAAAACATGTTAGCTAGAAAATTATATCAAAAATATAGTAATTGTTACCCCGTTTGGATGGTACGCGGTACGACATCGGAGGCAATTTGTGTTCCCGAAGCCCACGCATCCAATGCATTCCGAATGACACATTTGACACGATCCGTCGTAAAGCTCAAATTGATACCTAAAATAATTCGATTTTAGCTTTACTAGTATTATCCCACTAACAAAAATTCAACCCACTCCTCATTGCATTTATCTTTCGAAACAACCTTATCCAAACAAGTTACACGCATCAGAGTATTCGTAATATCTAAAGTAAAGTTATTTGAAATCTATCTTGAGTTAAACTTCAATTTTACTGAGAAACTTCACAAAACCCCACCAGCCAAGTATTGTGCATAGGTGAAATTGTACGGTTGTTGAATGAGCTGGGTGATATTCCTTTGTACACTTATCCTATCGCCCGCATATTGAATCAAACTCTAAAAAAATGACACATTTATCAAAGGCACAAATTCTCACCCATTCTCCAGCCCTGCATTTTGTCGGATTTGGCACCATGAAGCACTTCTTGCGTGTGCGATCAAATAATGTACCACTAAATGTAAAATATCATTAAGTCTAACTCAGGGACTAGCATTGGAGGGAAAAACTAACTGCGGGCATTCGTCAATACATTTCTTCGAGAAGGGGTCTTTTATAAAGCCCGGCTTGCATTTGGAACATGGCTAAACACAAAACAACATTTAGTTGTTATTAACCTGTCCTTGATCAGTTCAGTTAATTTCTCATTAATAAAACTCACATCAAAATTTGGGAGCGTCGATAGGCAAGTCATTTCGTTAACACAATGCGTCGAGTTTCTGTAGTCGGTCTTGTCAAGCCGTCCCTCGAATTCGCAATTCTCGAAGCAATCATTCCCGTCGCAAACCGGACCATAGCGTTCCGCGAGTGATGTGTTTAAGCTAAACGACAAAAATTAGTGTTAACAATCCAAATCGAGGCTTGTTTTGGAAATGTAGATTTTTAAATTCTAAGAAACCCAAAATGTACCTGTTAAAATATTCGTCGGCTTCTTGGTAAGTCTTGAAGAAGTTTGAAAAGATTCGACTTTGTTTCACGGAGCATTGATGCTTAGGGCATAGGCTCGCCTGGCTTCCCGTTTCAGCGTAAGGCGTCTAAATGCAAAAACAATTGATGATTCTACAAATGAATTCTCAATCCCGAGCCGGTGAGTCTAGAAGGCGGTCAGAACCAAAACCTTACAAGTTCAAACCAACCGCGATCATCCAAAATGCAAGCGCCATGTTCTCTGTCCAATTTGTCGACTTTGCTGGAAAAATCTCCGGGTTCACCTCGTCCGGCATTGGTCGTTTCGATGTGCATTTTGGCTAAACGATGAATTGCAGTAATTTTTGAACAAACTCACAATGCGACTTCTACGTCCAACTACTCCATAGTATCGACAATCAAGGCAATGCCGGTGAGTTGGACCGTCTGGAAGAGATAAAAAGCGTCATATCTACTTACCGTAACCCTTTGAGCAGAAAGCAATTCGAGAATCTACATAACTACCGTAAAAAAAAACTTACTATGACATCCCCAACAGTTCGGGTGACACTTCAGACATCGAAATGGAAATGTACTCGTCGACCAGTAGCCAAATCTAAAAACAAAGTTGTAATACTAGATACGTACTTGTAATACGTAATTTGGTACTTGATTTGCAGTGGTTTTAATTCTAATTCAAGTAAAGCTCAAAAGTATAAGGGTTGTATTTTCAAAAAAAACCCACGGACATTCGGTGTAACAGTGAAAGCTGTTGGTTTGTGTGTCTTGTAAGGAGAACAAACCCTCGGCACATTCCAAACAAACGGTATCACTAGAAATTAACATAACTAGTACAGTGGCTCAACAAAAACTCACTTCAAACAGTGTGTACAGTACGGTGGACACTTCATGCAATTGCCCGTTTCCAAATCAGTGTACGTTCCTCTGAAATTATTTCAATTCAACACCTGAAAAAAAGCAAACCTTGGACAAAAATCCTGGCATATCTCTCGAAAGCGTTGATGCGTCAAAACAAGACCTCGTGCGCATTCCGTGCATGTTCCCGTTTCCTAAACATTCATCAATGATGAAGAAACCCTAGAATCAAGCACCTCATCACATGTTGTACAATTCGGCACTTTTTCCGAGCATAACATGCATTCGCCCACCGTTCGATAGAAGCCACTAAACTTTTTATTTGATTATTTATTTCAAATGAAAAATCACCGCGGACACGGCTCATCGAGCTTGAAGCAATGCTTGTTCCGGGGTGACGCTTGATAGCCGGACATGCACTGATCGCAGTACTAAAGGGAAAAATGAATCCAAAAATGTCAAGCGTACATTTTTATCGCGACATAGCCGGCAATTTGGCGGACATCTCGCAGTGCAGCCGCTGGTTAGATTGACTTGATACCAACCACTAAAAAGATGCCAAATTGTTATGATTATGACATAATCATTGACAAATTGCAGCTTTGACAGCTGCCTTGAATGTAAACTTGAAACCAAACGTCACCCACTCTTCGCATTTTCTCACCGATGCACGCGACAGCTCTTTGAGTTCGTCTCGCGTTTTGAGGTAGACGTTGTTGATGTGCATTTTTCCAAGTTTTTGGCAGCGTCGGATCCCCTCGTTTTGATTGGGATTTCCGCTAAAAATGAAATTATCGTTTCAAACTAAACATCATCACGATTGTTTAAGCTTATCAATCAAAATATCAAAGCCAAAACTAAAGCTCACCGAAACACGACACCATGCCCTATCGGACACTCCGCGCATCCCCATTTGTGCTGAACGACGCAGCGATCCAGCGATTCCCATATGTCCTAAAAAAAGTGAATTCGATGCCTTAATTTAAACCCTACATTGTAATGGAGTCCATATTTGTTCTTGCTGGGCGACCAAATCTCGATACATGTCCCTTGATCGATACGAAGACTCCGATTGTACGAAAAGAAATTCGCGGTCAGTACCGGATAGATGTAGTTCCTAAAATAAAGGCATTTCATAAAATGTAAGAAAGCAAGCAATTCGTGACGGTGTTTTAATAGTAAAAACACTTACGCATCTTCGTAGTTGATCAATGCTTCCGAATTGCAAGTGAACCGGGGATAAGCAAGTCTACTAAAAAGAAAAAACTGTTAGCCGGATCTCTTTATACTTATAAGATGTAAAATGCTAAGTAAAATCATGTAAATGTTCTAAATAGCCTACAAACTTAAGCAGTATCCCAAAAAAACCCCGTAATAATAAAATTTTTATAGCAAAAGCAGAAAAGCTAACTCTTTCGTGACGGTGCCAAGCGGAATTCGTGTGCACGTCTTGTTCTGGTCCGGATAACATTTTCGCATCATTCGATAATCGGCCAATGAGTGCCCATACTAAAAAGATGATAAATACCTGCCGTATTTACTCTAATAAAAGTCCCCCTATAGGAGCATCGCGTAGTCTAAGTTTACACTCAAAGAACCGCTCACATCTCGGCGCCCAGACATTTGTTTTGGCGCGCTTGGATATCAAATTAAAGTAGAAAGGATGGGCGATTTTTGAGATATAACACAGATTTTTAGCATTAACCAGCGTTTAGAACAAAATGATTGAAAAATGATGAAAAATCGGATTTTTTTGCCACTGAGACTACGCGACGCTCCTATAGGGAGGGCTTTTATTAGAGTAAATACGGTAGGTAGATTGATAGGAAAACTTTAAACCATGCAGCTTGTTACAACTTGTTACAATAAATCAAATAACTTACGGGCACGTCACTGGCCATGGGTTGAACAACAGCATGGGTGAGTGGTGGAGGGAAGAAAACGAGAAAATTGGCGAAAATGTAGAAGAGAGCAAACATCGAAGAATCACCGAGCAAGTAGTGGAGAAGCAAGATGTGAAAAAGAAAAGTGGAAGGGTTCGAGAAGGTTTAAAAGTTGGCTTAAATGCAAAGTAAATTTATAATATGCAAATTTAGAAGATGCAACTATTCAACTGAATATCTTTAGATTTGTAAGACATTGAAAAAATGGTATAAATAGAGGCTCCAATTTTCTTTTTGGCTTAATGCTATTTTCTTTTTTGGCTTTTGGCTTTTAGCATTGTTATAGATTACACGATTTTTGTTACTAATTTGTACTTTGGTATACTTTGATGTACTTTTATATACTTTGATGTACTTTGATATACTTTGATGTACTTTGATATACAGTATGGGGCTTCTTAGAGGAACGTTTGAGGCATAAGAAAATCGCAAATCTTGGTGAGCTCGAGGGGGAGAATTGATCGCTGCCTGGAACGATATTGATACCAACTGCCTCCGTGCCACCGTCGGCTCAGTGATCCCGCGTCTGAAAGCCTGTATCAAAGCCAAGGGATCCAATTTCGAACACTTGTTATAAATTTGAATTTTTGGTTATTTATCTGTTATTTTTTTCAATAAATATGTTAAAAGCCCAATTTTGAAAAAAGATATGATGGTTGAAAAAACGACAATACTTTTCTCGGACCCTGTACTTTGATGTACTTTGATGAAGCCAATATTTTCATTGAGGTCTGTTTGTAATACATTTGTTGGGCTAAATCTATTAGGTTGATGCATAAGTGTTTTTGTTCCTTTTCGTCTGCCGTTTCAAGCCAACAAATGGACCAATTAAACTACGGTTGATTTCATTAGAAAAACCAATTATTTTTCTGCAAAATAACATTAAAACGGGTTTAAAAATATTTAATGCCTGGATTTTCTTGAAAGTATGAAGTCGGGTAGTCAAAAAGGGCTAACTCGATGATGCGGTTTAGACACCTTAGCTAAAGAAAACCTATCTTCGTGTCAATAGATAAAAGATAGAGAAAAAAACGTTTGATATTTCGCCAAAATTTCAGAGAAATTCATTCAGCCAATTTTTCCGTAGAGTTTTTTATAGATTTTTACGAAAAAGGCGTTTTTCACTCTCGAATTTGCTTGAAAGTGAACCGAATTTGATTTAAAAAGATGCAAATTGAACAAAAAAAACACTTTTTTTATAGAGCAAACTATAGATTAATTCGTGAATTTGTTACTTTTTAACAGAAGTACGAAAAAAACGAAAAGACTTATGCATCAACCTATTAGATAAGATTTAGTGACTTGTAACTTAAGTTATGTAAACTTTCTAGCTTATTTATCTTATTCGTATTTATTTGCATCTGATAAAATCACATATTATTTACAAGTATATGACACCCATTATCGTTTTTGACATGATACACTCAAAAAGAAGTGAAAATGAGATTTTTTGAGATGAAAAATTGGACACAATGGAAACTTCTAAAAGTAAGTCGCTAACCGTTTCTAATGCTAATGTTGATTTTTTTGATCGATAAAACTTGCAAACATTCAGGATATGGTGCACTGAAGAGCTGAAGAATCAGGTAAAATACATATCGAATGACTAGATCAAAAAATTGCGTAAACACGAGAGAAAGATCACAAGTAAAGCTCAAAAAACGGGGGAATGATAGCTGTAAAAACTTAAAAAGCTATTTGTCTTTGGAAATGATCCAATCATGTGCTATCAATCTTCTCTAAATCGACCACAGGATTACTGTAGGCTCCAGTTGAAGTGGATTGACTCGTTGATGGGCGATCTGGCAACACATTTTTCTCGTCCTTCTCCCCGAAATGTTCAATCCCAATCGTTCCCACTGTCCCCCCATCATCATCGTCATTGTGATGTCCACTCATCGTTTCGTAGGTTTTACTCTTTGTGAATCTGTAAGGCTTTATATCGTCATCAGAGCCAAGGCAAACTGTTAACAAGAGCATTTTCTAAAACCCAGCAAAAGCTACCGTATCCCAGCTGTTTTTACACCGTATCCCAGCTGTTAATACACTACGTGACTAGACTCACAACGGTGAAGCTACGATCGAGTACTACAATAGCTTTCCTACGATAGCTTTCCTACAATAGCTTTCCCCCAAGCGTACATTTCAGAAAGCCTTGAGTTATAAAGATCTACGGGACTAGGACTGTCTTATATCAATTTTCAGCAAGGATAAATTTAACTCAACTAATTTTAGATACTTTGTAAAGACCAAACTCACCTCGCCCCAGCCAATATCCTCTCCTCGGCGCTGTGACGAATCCCGTACAAGAGATAGATTGCCATTCCTAGAAATTTTAGTAAGTACTGCAGGTGAACTAGCTATGTACAGTTTATTAACTCAGATTTAAATCTCATCCACCCACCAATCACCATCCACACGGCCAATCTCAGCCAAGTGATCGGCGCCAAATGGAGCATCATTTGAATGTTGATAAAAAGAGAAAGCGATGGAACAACCGGAACAAAATGTACCTGAATGACGTTATGGAATTGCGTCTTGCAATGTACAGTACTGGACAATGAAATATGATATTCGAAAAATGATCGTCACTTTCGCGAGTCTGTAACTCCCTTGTCTTTGAGTTTAAACTATTAGTGTTATACATTTTCTGAAAGCCCTTTCAAGGGCTACACAATGGTAATATTAATATTTAGAAATACGGTAAAGACAAGGGAGTTATAGACGTGCAAAAGTGACGATCTTTTTTCAAATATCATATTTCATTGTCCAGTAGTGTACTTTGTTTCATTTTACTTTAAATGCCAACTGTTGACGATTCTGACGATGAACAGCGACGAGAAGAAAAGAAAAAATTGAGATGGTCAGCGCAAGCCCGGTCACAATTGCTCCGAGGACTCCTTGCTGAAGAATGTTTATTGTAGGCCAAAAGTAAAGTTATTTTATTTCTAAACCTTGAAAAATCCAGTCGAGAAGCATAATCCGATGGCGAAAAATGAGATGGTCATCACAATAAGCGCCCAGACAATGGACTGGCCTGCGTGAAGAGAATTGATGAATGAGCTCATCGGAACCCAATTGTACACTCGACCACCTGAAGTTGAAGTAGTTCTAGGTAATTCCGATAACGATAGCTTGTACTGATTACGGATATGGTAACTTTTGTAACTCAATAGTACAGTCTGTTAGATAGTTTCCAGTCAACTGGTTACTGGTTAGAAGTTCCCAGTCAACTGGTTACTGGTTAGAAGTTCCCAGTCAACTGGCTAGAAGTACGGCGACTCTAATTGAATAGTTTAGAGAGCTTCAGGCAGAGGATTACGGTAGCTTGTGCTATGAGAGCACTTTTTAGAGAACGCTTAGCAAGATTGAGGTAGCTTAAACTGAATCTTCTAGTATCTTTTAGATCTTATGCACATAATCTGTTAGAGAACCTTGTGGCTGAGCTTTAAGTACGGTAGATAGAATTGATACCTATTGACAAACAGACCGACAAATGAACAGCTTTAATACATAGTACATACAGTACGATACACGAAGTACATAGTACAGTAGAACAGACTCTAATATAGTACATTAAATTAGTCCCTGAACCCACCATGATCGAGTCCCTTCCCCGGAGAGCCTTCAATAGGCGCCGGTTGATATCGCAGAATCATCACACAAAGTGAGACGATTGAGTACGCTAGCAGTGTGCCTAAATACTGTAGATCACTTAGATACTGTAGATACAGGTTACTGTAAACAACCGCTAGAAAGCTTTGCCCACCTATTGATAAAAACTCGACAAGTGTTTCAATATCAAAAAGCAATGCGATCACTGCAACCATCAATGAGAAGATTATCACTGCATTCACGGGTACCTAGATCGGAAAACAATGCTGGAAGTTAGCTGCTAGATAAAGAAGCTTTTAGATAAAGAAGTGTCTAGATAAAGAAACCTCTAGATAAAGAAGCTTCTAGATAAAGAAGCTTTTAGATAAAGAAGCTTCTAGATAATCCTTCAAAAGTCTTCACTTAAACTAAAGAAGAACTTGTCTGTAAAGAATTATGTCACAAGTTTTTCTTTCACCTTTGTTCGATCGTTGACTTTCGCGAGAAATGAGAACAAAAGCCCGTCTTGAGCCATCGCATAGACGCAACGAGGTAAAGCAAACATTCCACCGACCTTAATGAATTCTAGAATAAAACTAGAGTACTGTAAAGTGCTAATACTAATAGAGTGCCACTGTATTTTGATAGGATCTCACCAGACTTGTCGTCATTCCACAAAGGGCTCCAAGAGAAACGGCGAATCGGGCAACCGTTGCTCCCTTTAGCTCAAACGCGTCCGCAAAGGCGGCTGATGGGTGAACCTTGATAAAATATAGAAATGACCGTAAATACTGTAATAATACCCCACCCTCCTCGTACAGTCGCGTAGTCTCAAGAATTTTTTTAGTATTTCATTTTTTTCAAAGCGCCCGTACTTTCAAAAAATGTGTCTTTGGTATCAAAAAATAGCTGAAAATCAGGGCTATTTTATGATACCAAAACGAAGATTTTAGCTTAAACCAGTGTCGTGAAAAACTCGTTCAAAGCTAGACTACGCAACACACCGCACCGTCATTATGGGGGTGGGGTACTGTTACAGAATTTACGGTAAGTACATTTGTGGGAGCTCTAAGCCTACTCTAAGCCTAAGCCTAAGCCCCGAATTTCAGCTATTTTTTGATACCTAAGCGCGCATTTTAGCATAAACCAGTGTCGTAAAAAACTCGTTCAAAGCTAGACTACACAACACTCCGCACCGTCGTTATGGGGGTGCGTACTATTACAGTATTTACGGTAGGAATATAGTCTTTGATATTTGCCTTTGATTTTTGATACTTTTCACTTACCACATTGTATGGTATCATTAGAGTAAGCGAAGCTGACATCAAGATATAGGCCAACGTGACAATTGACATTGAGATGAATGTGGCGAGTGGGATCGAACGAGATGGGTCTGGAATTGAAGAGGCTTTTTAAAATGATAGGGACTTCTTGGGTACTTTGCTGTGCTATGCACTGTGCTATGTACTGTACTATGCACTGTGCTATGTACTGTACTATGCACTGTGCTATGTACTGTACTATGCACTGTGCTATGCACTGTGCTATGTACTGTACTATGCACTGTGCTATGTACTGTACTATGCACTGTGCTATGTACTGTACTATGCACTGTACTATCATAGTACTGCTGGACTAATGCATTGACTAAACTGTAGTAAATAGGTTTTCTCTGTACTTACTAATGTACTGTACTGTACTAGTCTTTTCTACTGTACTATGTACTTCGTGTATCGTACTGTGTGCACTATGCACATTTTGTATTAAAGCTGTTCATTTGTCAGTCTGTTTGTCAATAGGTGTAGAACGGAAAAACGAAATTTAAACACTTCAATGGCTACTTTTTTTCAGGATTTCTCGGCACATAAAGGTAGAATTTTTCAAGCTCTAGCTTTTACTCTGAAAAAGTACCCATTGAAGTGGTTAAATTTAAGTTTTTCCGTTGTACACCTATTGACAAGCAGACTGAGAAATGAAAAGAATGCAAAAATCGACATCTCAAAAAAAAATTCAAAAAATTTTGATTTTTTTGAAAATCCATGTGGGGGACCACATGGTAATTTTGTGAAAAAAAATTTTCCATTTTTTTTATCTAATTATTGGATTATTGTATTTTATTGTGTAAAAATCGATTTGGCAAAGTTTGAAGGCGGGGAGACACGCCAATTTGCGAAAAAAACCTCCCCACCTGCGAAGAAAACTTCCAAGACAGAGACTACTCTGTCTTGCAACTCAACTTTTCATTGAGGAAACGAGTCAGCTTATGAAATCTCAAAATTCAGACTCGGCAATTAAAAAAAAGACCCCTAAAAAATGGATTAGAAATATTTGGAAGTATACTTTAGCCGCACTAACTCTTAGCTTCCTCTCCCGCTGTCGCCAATCCATCAAAACCAATGTAAGCAAAGAAACACGAGGCCGCTCCAGCCAACATTCCTTGAAAACCGTATGGAAAGAATTTCGAGTCGCCGGATGAGGTTTGCCCTGGAAAATCGTTGAGAAAAATACATTCAAGCTATAGGAATATTCTCTATTTTTATATCAGAGCCAAGCTAAGAAGACTGGACAAGAAAAGTTCAGTTCTAATGCTTCAAGGCAAGTAGTCAAGGCTTAGACTTTAGTACTCCAAGTACTTGTAGTACTTGTAGTCTTGTACGGTCTTGTACTACAAGTACTTGTAGTCTTGTACGGTCTTGTACTACAAGTACTTGTAGTCTTCTACGGTCTTGTACTACAAGTACTTGTAGTCTTCTACGGTCTTGTACTACAAGTACTTGTAGTCTTGTACGGTCTTGTACTACAAGTACTTGTAGGCTTCTACGGTCTTGTACTACAAGTACTTGTAGTCTTGTACGGTCTTGTACTACAAGTACTTGTAGTCTTGTACGGTCTTGTACTACAAGTACTTGTAGGCTTCTACGGTCTTGTACTACAAGTACTTGTAGTCTTCTACGGTCTTGTACTACAAGTACTTGTAGTCTTCTACGGTCTTGTACTACAAGTACTTGTAGTCTTGTACGGTCTTGTACTACAAGTACTTGTAGGCTTCTACGGTCTTGTACTACAAGTACTTGTAGTCTTCTACGGTCTTGTACTACAAGTACTTGTAGTCTTCTACGGTCTTGTACTACAAGTACTTGTAGTCTTGTACGGCCTTGTACTACAAGTACTTGTAGGCTTCTACGGTCTTGTACTACAAGTACTTGTAGTCTTGTACGGTCTTGTACTACAAGTACTTGTAGTCTTCTACGGTCTTGTACTACAAGTACTTGTAGTCTTGTACGGTCTTGTACTACAAGTACTTGTAGTCTTGTACGGTCTTGTACTACAAGTACTTGTAGTACAAGACCAGTGCCTGTACTGTAGTTGTTGTAGACGATATTGATTTAAAACTTATCTTGTTTAAAACGATTTGTAATTCAAAAAAACAGATGATCATAATGAAGCGAGGGAAATTTATAAACTAAATACCTGTCCATAAAGAGAAATCAGCAAAGGACATCCCGTAGCCGACGACAATCGTTATCACCTGAAAGTATGATTGAAGAGATTGGATATATAAAATAATTCTAATTAAGTCTCTCCATCAAACTACTCCAGAAAACATCCATCAAACTTACCACCATGTTGATGAGAGTGAAAATGTTGTTGAACATTGTCGACGTTTTTGAGCCGAGTGCCACAAAGATCTGGGAAATTTGATGAGTTTGATAAGTTAAGAATCTACAAATAGAAAGATATTAGTTCTTATTTGTGAAACAAACTTCTTCTTTTCATTGTTAAAAGCTATCATATACAAAACCCAAAGCCAATTCAATTCTCTTGAGATAAAACAACTAGTTTGTTTATTTGTAAAGTTAATGTGACCTTACCGCTACGAGGATTACCACCAAGAAGGCGACAAAGTCGAGGTACTCCCCAAAAACGGTGCTCTGAAAGCTGATTGTGTACGATAAGAATGCAAATTTTGCGGATTTATAACGGAAAAGAATCAATAACTTATTTAGTATGTAGTAGAGTAGAAAGATCTATGATATATGGAGTCCGATAGGTGGATCTAAACTTTTAAACCCACATCAATCACTCCGAATTCATTCTCGGTGATGTTGCGAATCCGATTGTTTAGTAGAGAGTCCAGATAGGCTGACCATGAACGAGCGACAGCTAGAAGATTGAAGATATGGCAAAACGGGTATTTTAGGGTGGTGCAAAAGAAACTGCCGATGGGTATCAGCTCTCATTTATCGAGGCCAGAAGTCGTGAACGAAGCCAAGCTGAGGGACGTTATTCAGGCCGATCCATGTCAATCTGCTCGAGATCTTGCGAAAATATTCCATTGTGATCATGTCACCATCGAAAGCCATCTTTTTTTGAATATACCGCCAAATCGGCAGTTTCTTTTGCACCACCCTAATATTATAAGAGGCACAATAGGATGGTACGGTGAGATAAGCCCGATAAAATAGACAATACAATGGGTGCAAAAAGAACGCCAATACGCTAAGGGGTACGGTAAGAGGATTGCGATAAGATAAAGTAAAATCGGATGCCGAGATGAGATAGGGATTCACAAATCACAAACCAGCGGCTCCAAGCATGTGCTCGAGGACGATATTCCATCCGATTACAAATGCCCACAGTTCACCAACTCCAATGTACGCATACGTGTAAGCGCTGCCAGCTTTTGGGAATCTACAAGAAATCCGTTTTTTTCTCTTATACTTGATTTGATTTAAAGATTAAACATTAAAGACTCCATTCGTTTTTAATGTAAGTCTTTGTAAAACGACATTTTCTGTAGTACCAAATACCGTATTTTCCAGTAATAGTAGTAAGCTCTAAGCTAAGCTCCAAGCTAAGCTCTAAGCCAAGCTCTAAGCCAAGCTCTAAGCTAAGCTCTAAGCTCCGCCTAAATCGCTTTTCGAAATCTCAACAACCGCTTATCAGAACCTATCGATGTGGGATCGGAAAATGTAGCTGACGATGAGATCTTGCGGGGGATTAGGGTGCTAAGCTTCTGTGAAAAATTGGAAACTGTAAAATAGGCATCAACTTGGGCATCAACATCAACACCGGCGCACTACTATTAGGGGAAAATACGGAAGCTAGGGCTAACAAACCTAGCTCCAAATTCCGCATAGCAAAGCGCTGAGAGCAACGAGGCGAAACCGGCAAGCAAGAATGAGAGAACAATCGATGGGCCGGCCGTATTTCGTACAACAGCTCCTGAAAATTCAAGGAATTGTTTGTCGGGTCTATTATATTATTATAGATCTCGATTAGATTTTCAATTTTTAACTTTAACATTTAACGGTTAAAAACAGAGAACGGAGCGCTCGAAGTGAAGCAGCGACTAGGTGACAATATCTTAACTATAGGGCAATTATAAGGCTTCTAAATGTGCGTCAAGCTACCGTCCAGATATACGGTAGACATATGCACATTTTAAAACTCAATTCATTTGATCGCTTTTTTCTTCATTCACCTGTTAGCACATAGATCCCAGCTCCGATCATGTGACCGACGCCAAGCAGAGTGATGTCCAAAGTCGAGAGATTTCTAGATAAATTGATTTATTTATATAGTTAAATGTTAATTGAATATCTCACAAAGTATAATACATAGATTTTTATAGAATAATAGCTATGTATTACTGAAATCTTCACTGCAGAAAGCTGCAGAAATCAATCGGATTCCGTTTTTGATAAGTTAGACTCAGGTAGTCATAAGCTGTTTTCTAATAGGCACTAACTTGTCATCAAGTAATTTAACGGGGTAGGCTAGTTTCCGCAACTTTTTTTGCGCAACAGGGTCATTTGCGCAACTGGGTCGTTTGCGCAACTCACCATAACTTTCTTCTAAGTGGACCAATCTTTATGTTTTTGATTTCATTTTGTTGCACTTATTGAGATCTACAAAATGAGACCAAAATCATAAAGATTAGCCCACTTAGAAGAAAGTTATGCCGAGTTGCGCAAACGACGCAGTTGCGCAAATGACCCAGTTGCGCAAATGACCCAGTTGCGCAAAAAAAAGTTGCGGAAACTAGCCCAATTTAACAAGTAGATATTCAAGCGCAACTTTTCACTCATTTTTAACACTTATCTTATTTCAAAACTTAGAAATAAAGATCTAGATTTGTTAGATGAATAATTTGTTATATGAACAACTAAATTTGGATAATCTTAAGTTCTTTTTGCTTTTTTAAACCTCTTCAATTGCGTTTCCAGGCATCCTGGGGTGATGTGTTTCCGCCGAAAAAAGCGCTCCCAATAAGTGACTAAACGCATCTGAAAAATATATATATATATATATATGCTTTATTCAGTTGAATAGCGACAAAACAAAATCACAATTAATTACCCAGGACACCACTCAAAACACACCCAAAAGAAAAATAGATACCTCAAGAAAGAATCACAGAGCAGTCAAATCAATTGCCGAAATTGCGGCTAATCTAGCCTTTAAATCTAGCCAAGGTGGAAATATCACGAACATGAGAGGGTAAAATGTTCCAGAATTTAATAACTCGATTAAAAAACAAACTGTGGGGGCTTTTAGAGGAGAAAAAGCATTAAAACATAAAGAAAATGTATAAGAAAATGAATAAAAACTAGTTTCGTCGAGAAAAAGCGAGAGTAGATTGTCTGTTTTTTTCAGTTTTCTTCCACAAAAATGCTGAACGCAAAAGCGCATTTTATTTGTTTTTCCTCGAGAGTGAGAAGGGGACATTTTTTTTGCACACGAGAAAATGGGAAAGAAATAAAAAGGTTAATTGTATAAGGAGTGCACCAGAAAGGGTGTTTCTTTTGACATCATTGAACACAAAGTACTCAAGAAAGCAAAGTTTATCATCGGCTAGCTGCGCTGGGAAACGGCTTTGTGAAAATTTGCATTAATCTTGTAATTACCATTTGCGAATTTCCAAAAAAAAACTGACTTTCTCTCATTGTTGCCAATTCCGTCAGCTCATTCATTTTCAGAAATTTGCATATTCGATATTCAAAACATAAGAATTTTAAAAATCTGATCACTTCTCCGTTTTCCCCACTCCTGATTGCTCCTAGTTTTCCCCACTTCTGATTACTCTTAGTTTTCCTTTGCAAAACGCAACTGATAAAGCAAAATCGTGGTAATGAACACAAACAAACCGACAGACGATTTACAATTTTTCAAAGTTATAAAGTTCAAAGTTTTTCAAAGTTTCAAAGTTATTTCAATTTACGATTCAAACTTTCAAAGTTATATATAGTAGATACTCAGCTTGACCATCAGAAAGGTTCAATTGGAACCGTAAACTTTAACGATTAGATTTCATGATCGAAATTATTGCAAAATAGGAAATGTTTTATGATAAGGAATTCTAGAGCAAACAAAAATACTTATACTAATATTCGATTCTAGTCAAAGTTAGATTCCGATTGACAATTCAAATTGACAAATTCAGTCTTAATATAAGCGAATAAATTTGTTTATCGATTAAAGTTAGACTCAGGTAGTCATAAGCTGTTTTCTAATAGGCACTAACTTGTCATCAAGTAATTTAACAAGTAGATAATCAAGTAATCTAAAAACTAGATAATCAAATAATCTAAAAACTAGATAATCAAGTAATCTAACAACGATTGGGAAGGGCGGTGAAAGAAAGGATGTGACGAGATGTGGATGGATTGAATGAAGTGAGGAAAGGGAGTGAATGAGAAAAAGTGGAAAGTATGAAAGAATAAAAGAGTAGAAGAGTCGAAAAGGGGGGAGGGGGCATTTAGCCCGCATTCCCCCTTTTTGACGGGGTCCACGCTGAGGCTGACTCTCGGAGCTCGCGGATAACCCCCCTTGCCGACAAAATGCATTGAAATGGGCATGACTGACTGAAAAATCCCCATGCCACTCTCATTTTTGGATTTTCGATTTCAAAAGAAGCCTTGTAACAAACAAATAGTCATCGTCGCGCGTTATTGAGCCTCGATAATGATGTTGTTTTGAAAGAATTAATGTTTTTGTGGCTCAGATATGATTCGTTTGATTCGTATTTCGTTGTTGTGTTTTGTTGTTTTTGATTCTATTGTTTGAAGTTGAAGTTTTGAAGTTTACTCAATTCTCTCTAGTCTTTAAAGTCTAGAAACATGTTATGAAGTTTTTAAAATGAAAAAAACCCTAGGAAATGCGTTCTCCGACATATGCGCCAAGTTTTTTACATTAAAATAGAAAAGATTGAAATTGAATTTTTGATAAGAAACAAAATTTTGGTGAATCAATAAAAATCAACAGTAAACTTGTCAGCGAACAGTCAAAAAATCGAGTTTTTATTCGAGTTGTTTTTATTTCTCGTACAGATTCCGATTGACAATTCAAATTGACAATACTTAGCCTTAACACGTTGACGACAATGGCGTTTTTGCACAAACAATCGCATGGGACAATGTTGTTTTTTTTCGACAAAAAATGTCACCTGACATCAGGTGACAATGTCCCAGGCGAACGAATATGTGTCAGACAGCATCAGGTGACAATGTCGTCAACGTGTTAATATAAGCGTGTAAACTTGTTTATCGATTAAAGTTAGACTCAAGTAGTCATAAGCTGTTTTCTAATAAGTCAATAATATTGATCAAGAGAAAAGCAGGTGAAAAAGCAGCAGAAAAGCAAGAGAAAAGCGCACTGTTTCTTTAAAAAGTTAAAAAAAAAACAAAGTAAAAACTTGTTAGAGTTACGAAGCATTATAAAAAAACAAAAATATAAACAAAAAAAAAGGTTTGATGATTTTTAGGCTATACAATGGCAAATTGATCAAATTTTAGCGCAATAGACTACGCGACATTACGGATATTACGGTAATAACAGGTATACGGCATGTATTACGGTAAAAAAGGTAATGTAGTGAAAGTAAGAGTTTAAAAGGTACTACAGGCATTTTTAGTTACAGAATGGACAGCCTTTTACACACAAAAGACTATGGAAAATACGAATAAAGTGTTACAATAGTGACAAAAAAACTAACTTTAACAAAAACTAACAAATCTTTAAAAATGATTTTTGAAAGCGAAAACGTTTGGTGTGTGTGTATGGGGGTATGTTGGTTAGACACTAAGTAAATAGAGCTACATTTTGACAGCTGAAGACTGGAAAAAGTGAAAGAAAAGGCGATGAATTGAATTACAAAGATCGAAATGAATCAGAAAATAAATATTTTTCTATATTTTCTTGAAGTAAGCTGTAAAAGTTTGAAGAGAAAATGATTTTTTGATAAATATTTTTTGTGTAAGATGTTGATGTAAATGATTTTTCTATTTCTATAGTCGGGTAAAGCAAACTTGTTTTCATAGTTGTGTGCATTTTTCGTTTTCATATAAAAGTGATCTATTTATTCTTTAATGTAAACAAAAATACAGACTTTAGATTTTATAAAAAAAAAACACAATTAAGCTCCAGTGAAAATAGAGAAATCGAAAAAAGAGAAGCCAACAATGAGACATATGCTTTGCCCAAGAGGAAATGAGTTCTCGAAATCACCTCTGTGTACTTTTTCGCTAAAATGCAGCGTTTCTGGCACACTCAAATCAACGGGATCATCAAGGACAAATGTTGTGCAGTGCTTGATGTCTTCTCAAATGTCTTCCCACCAAATCCGCTTTCTAAAGCGTGTCCCACTTTCTCCGACTACCGTAAGCTTGTCTCTATTTTTATTCAAATCGATAAATTTAAAAAACGCCTGATCGACATCGAAACGACCAATGCCGGACGAGGTGAACCCGGAGATTTTCCCAGCAAAGTCGACAAATTGGACACAGAACATGGCGCTTGCATTTTGGAGGATCGCGGTTGGTTTGAACTTTTAAGGTTTTGGTTCTGATCGCCTTCTAGACTCACCGGCTCGGGATTGAGAATTCATTTGTAGAATTTTTGGGAGTCTTTAATGAAAAAGATATTCAATTAACGCTATAAAATTGAGGTGCTAGCAAAAGCGCCGCGTTTTTTGCGCGAAAATGGGGTAGGCCAATTTCCACCATTTTATTTGCGCTTATGAAAATCTGCAACAAAACACTTTTTCCGAACCAAAACCAACTTTTTTTTCAGTTTTTTGCTTCACAATTTTAGTTCACACTGTTTTCAATTAGAAAACATGTTTAAATACTTATATAGACCTAAAAACAGTCATTTTTGTGTCCCCCAATTGAGCTTTTGCTCGCTTTATCGATTTTATGCCATTTTCAGATCCGGTAAAGGCTCCAAAGTAGCGAGCATCGTTGGCGAGTAATAAAAAGATCAGAATAAACAATTGGAGTTGGCAGGAAAGTGTGTTGAAAAGCGCAAATTTTGATAACGTGTTTTTCTCGATTTTTGTGCTTTTCTTGGTTTCTTTTCAAGTTTTAGACTAACTTATCAAATTTTGATAAATTTTGATAAAAAGATACGCGGCGCAAAAAACTTTGGCGCAAATAATTTGGCGCTTTTGCTAACATCTCATAAACTTACAGAATTTTCATCTCTCTCACTTTTTTTTCGCAAGCCTTGTAATTGTTGAGAAGACTTTGTTTTAACAGTGAAACACAAAAATTATGTAAATGTTGTCGTGGAATGCACTAGTTTTGCGTGAAAATTGTATTGTGACGGAAAATAGTTTACGCTGTGAAAAAATGAGAAAATTTCCTATAGGAATCCTGCTAAATTTTGTAATTTGAAACGTGTTTTTCTCGATTTTTGTGCTTTTCTTGGTTTCTTTTAAAGTTTTAGACTAACTAATCTATTTCAACTTTTATTTTTTAGGAATGCTCACCTCGTTCCTCTTTTACCCGTCTTTGGGTTACAACTTGCTGCGCAATCAAATACAACCGAAGAAATGGATGTGGCCAGTTGTTTTTGAATACTTAAAGACGTGATAGTCGGTTTATTTTTAATTAATCGGTGCAAGTGCTTTCTTCTCAAAAATTCTATTGCACAGAAATTATTTACTCGTTTAGGTACAATAGAATAGACGACGGCCTCGTGCTGGGCGCAATGCCGTTCAAATCGATGAAAGAGGATTTGATAAAGGTGGGACATTTACTAATTTACTTGGAACTAGCAGAAGTAGCCTTAAATAGTCAAAATCGCTTTTAACGGGCTTAAATTCAAAATTCAAATGGGAAATTTAAAGCTTTAGCAAGATTTACGTTCTAAAGGCTTAGGTTTGAGGTACAAGTATTGTCAAACAGCTAACAGCATGTTTACTAAAACTTGTAACCTTTCAAATTTAGTTTTTATTCGTTTACAAATCTAACAGATCTTTTTAGAAAGAAAACGTCGGAGGAGTGGTTTGCTGCACGGAGCCTTACGAGCTGAAAGCCGCCTGGAAAGCGATGAACGGAGATGATTGGAAAGTAGGTCATTAAAGAAATTTTAGCAAAATTTGTAAATTTAAATAAATTTAACATTTTAGGCTGAAGGTGTCGAGTTTCACGCGATCCCGATGACCGACTTTTTTGGCTCAGCTGCGAGGGGAGAACTTCAAAAGGTGAATTGACTTCAGCAATACAAGGAAACGCGTTTTTAGGCGGTCAACTTCATGAAAGAAATAAACGATAAAGGGAAATCCGTTTATGTGCATTGTAAGGTGAGTTATGGGATACTAAAGTAATCTTTATGAAATTTGTAATTTTTATTTTAGGCTGGCCGAATGCGTTCAGCGACGGTAGCGACGTGTTATTTGATGCAAAAGAAAGATTGGCTACCAAATGTCGCCTTTGAGTTTATTAAAGGGAGTAGACCACAGGTATATTTTTAGTCTTTTAGCTATCTAATTGAAATGATGCTCTTAGTGAAGCTCTCTTTCGAGGTCGAATAAAATAGCTCAAAGGGTAATTTGATACTCTGTATGGCAAGTTAAGCTCAACTTGTATCGATACTATGAAAAGAAGCATTTTTGTATTTTTTCTAATGCCAAATAACCGTTTCATTTTAGGTATTGCTGCGAAGTACACAATGGCGAACGGTAAACGAGTATCGACGTTGGTTGGACACCCATCCCCAATTCGTCTTTTCACATTCTTCATTTTCATCCAATTCCGGTAAAGCCTAGCTTCATCCTTATGTATATACTCATTTGAAAATCTTTATTTTTCGCAATAGGAAAATTTTATTGATAGTTCGTTCAAATTGTTCTCAAATTCTCTGCATTGTTTACGTTTGTCATTTTAGTTTTATAAACTGTGATAAATTATTGCTTTTCTTTCAAATTCATTTGCAAAGCGTTCATGAACACAATCAGTTTTCTAATTTAATTCTTTTGTGAATTCGATAAGGAATTTTTGTTGTTGGGTGGGGTTCATTGATAGGAATGATTCATTTTCGGGGACTAAGAGTCTGGTTATTGCTGCCTCAGATGTTCTTTCCGTTTTAAGACCTCAAATTTTAATTGTTAACTTATAATAAGATTCATTATTCGAATTTAGAAAGATTAAAGGTTTTTTAGGTTTTCAAATCCGAATAAGCTCGGCTTCCGTGAGGTACTGTAAATAGGGTTTTGACAAGTAATCTGGTTTTGGGCTTTGAGTAGAGGGAAGAGTTGATTCACCATACTTTAGATTGTTTTATTCGAGGAATTATTCAGTTCATCCGAAGAGCACAACTTGAACAAGCAAGCGACTAACGGGGTTCATTCAACTTTTCCAAAAGAGAATCACGGGGTGGAGTTTTGTTGGGAACTGGCGCGGAGAAGACCGGTTTTTGTTCGTTGGCATAGACAGAGAGAAGACATTTCTCCCTTCTTCCGTCACTCATCGATGACTCGAGTCACTCCCGTCAAGCAGACACATCTTTAAAGATGCTTGTGTCATTAATTTACTACGAGTCAGGTTTTTATCTATCTTTGATCTACTTTTTCGACATAGGTTTTGGTTCAGCAATTAGGTGCAGTAATTTGGCAGCTTTTGGATATTATGCTTATTGCGAGCGACCGACTTAGTTGTTTGTTTCTCTCGTATCAGTTGGCTTTGCATCTGAAGTTTACAACAATGCATAGGTCAACGGTGATAAGGTGATAGCAATCCCAATTTGCATTAAAGTTGGATATTTTTTGATAAATGCTAGGGTTTATCTTTAGGTTATGCTTTTGTTTCTTTAGGTTTATGGTAGCGTTTTTAGGAGCTAGCATAGTTACCGTAATCTCGTGAAGGATTACTTTAACATTCTATTGGATGATACGGTAACTAGGTCAGCTTTTTTGGGATTCGATCATTGTTAAACTGGATTCCAACGTGGTCGAAACACTTTTTGATACTTATCCCCGCTTTTTGGTGAACTATCCAACGGATTAACACATAAAAAGCTTGTTTCCCGCCAGTTTGTTATGGAAACCGCGTGTTGACATTTGATCAACAAATTTTGCTATGCGAACATGTTTTCCAGCATTGTTCATTGTTCTTTGATGATTACTTGTTCTTTTTCACTTTCAAAGCAGCTGACCGTTATTGGCGGTTATTTTGTGTGTCTTGAGTCGTTGAATCTTTTCACTGTCGACCCCTCTTTTCTCTTTCTTTTGTCCTGTATGGTTCCTTGTTTGCTTGCTCTATTCGCTGAACAAAAAAACAGCGGGACAAAGCAGTCCCTCCTTCCTGCTCCTTTTGCAAATTCCACCCCACCGATCATTTTGACGATCTATCCTTTCTTGAGGGGAAACTTCATTTTTTTCATGTTTATCGTAGTCTATGTCTAAAATGGCGTAAAATCTTTAGATTTTTTCCAGAGTTCAATTTTTTCATTTTCTGAATTGCTATAAATTTCTATAAATTTCTATAAATTGTTTTTATTTCAGAAATCAGACATTTCTATAAATTGTTTTTATTTCAGAAATCAGCGACCGTTTGAGTGAACGATGCGTGAAGAGTGCCAAATGTTACAGCGTTCCCGAAGCGACGCCGATTTTTCGGTTAGTATGCATTTTTAATTTAAAATTTAAAATTTAAAATCTATAAAAGAGAGGATTAGATTTTATGTGCCCCGATTTCGTCCTTTTCTAGGTTAATCCCATAGTGCCTTTTCAGTTTCACGACCTTGTTGAGGACAGACAGAGCATGCAGTTTTTGATGTTTTTATAAAAATTGAATTACACAAAATTTACCGATCATATGATACCCAGCCACCAATCAAGTAAAAAAGATCTCCCATCTTTTCTTGAGCTATTCGACCGTTCCAAGGACAACACCGAAAATTGGAATGGGTTTTCCGGCCGATACTTTTTCAACTATCTTTTAAAACTAGGTCAGAAAATTAAAGCTGCCCTACACTTTTAAATATTAATGCTCTCTTTCAATCATTTGCCTAGTAAAGAGTGAGCTAAATAGTAAGACAAGAGAATGGACAGCCGAAAGAAATGGGTGTTGTTTAGCGGAATGGACAGACTTGGCAAAAAGGGGGATGCGCGAGAAAGAGTGAAAGAAGGGACGAGTGAATGAGAAGAGTCTTTCTTCCTTTTCCTTTCCTTTCCAAGAGCTTCTCCCCTGCCCATTCCCTTGTCAGGGCGCTTCTTCGTGCTCCCCTTCTTTTCAGTCAACGCAAATCGATGCCCCTTTTGCGACCTTTTTCTCATTTTCCTCATTCTCCACAATCCATTCCTCCCAAATGACACCAACACGAGACTCGGACACCCATTCCCCTCCTCTCATTCCCCTAATTTTTGATCCTATGCTTTTTGAGAGCCTAGTTTTTAGGAAATCTTTGCCACATCGCTGAGATTTTCTTTCGATTGATTCATTGATATCAAGTCTCCAATCTTTGCGACTGTAGCGCAAGTTTTTCAGAAATTTTCTCGCCTTGTGGGTCAATGTACAAGATGATTCATAAGATTGTATTTTCGTCTTAACAACTAGTCCTGAAGCTTCTTTAAAAGAACACAACCACCTAAATATTTTGTATTCTTGACCATTCAGTTCCGGCTAAATTTTGATCAAAAGCCTTTTGCGCTTTTTAAACGCTTTCTCTCTCATTGATTTGCACGGTTTTTTTAATTGTTTCATCAGCCGGCTCAACTAAATGCAGAGCAAATCAAAGAGAGAAACGGCGAAAAAGCGAAAAATACATCGAATTAGAGGATGCGGGGTCGACAAGATACTCCGCACACGTGTCTGCCCTCCATCTAGCCGCTTTTTTTCTTTAAACATCCCCACCCATTTTTTTATCCTCGATTGATTGATGCGAAACGCTTTTGGGGCGATGGTCGCAACGTGAAAATCCGCTTTTAATTGCTGGCAAACTGGCTCTCTTTTTGGTGCCGACCGATTTGCATATTCCATTTGGCAGCTGTCAAAATTTCTCACAAGAACTCAAATCTCTTATGGTTTGTGTTTAACTAAATTGGTATTATAAATCGGAGAAAATTTCTCGAGACGCATTCCTTTGAAACCATTCAGTTTTTGCCCCCGTGACAAGGCCACGATTTTATTGATTCTTTTTATGTTTTTCGTTGGGGTTTTGGTTTTGGGGACTCACTCGCCTTTCTCCAATGCTAATTTCATCCAATTTTCGATGCACACCCCGAGTCTTTTCGGGAAGGGGACGAGGTCCCCGGATTCTTTTCCCTATACCCTTTTCCTTCACCGATTGACTCCACCATCCTACTAAAATATATCATTTTTTGAAAAAATATGAAAGCATATAAAATATGTCAATGGTTTTCTTTGCTATTTTTAATTTTATGTATTTTACAGAAAAGAACGCTTTCCGAAGATGCCCAAATGGAACGCCTAAGCGACAGCGGGCTGAATTATGGCAGAGACGACGGACCGATGGATCACTTGGATGTGATGAACAGCGATCGAAGCCGCGCCTCAACAGACGAGATCCACGAGAAACACGATTACGAGGACTCGTGTGCGAGTAGCGGGTGAGTTAAGACTTTGGAAAATATTTATACTCATTAAATGAGAATTACCGTAAAAACTCTAATAGAGCGGCTCCCTATAGGAGCGTCGTGTAGTCTAAGTTTACTCTCAAACAAACGCTCATACCTCGACACCAGTACGTTTGTTTCTGCGCACTTGGGTATCAAATTAAAGTAGAGAGGATGAGTGATTTTTTTTTGCGATATAACACATATTTTTAGAATTAACCAATGCTTAGAACGAAATGATTGAAAAGTGACAAAAATCGGCTCTTTTTTGCCTCTTTGTTCTACGCACTGGTTAATTCTAAAAATATGTGTTACATCTCAAAAAATCACCCATCCTCTCTACTTTAATTTGATGCCCAAGTGCGCAGAAACAAACGCACTGGTGTCGAGATATGAGCGTTTGTTTGAGAGTAAACTTAGACTACACGAGGCTCCTATAGGGAGCCGCTCTATTAGAGTTTTTACGGTAGTTACATTAAACAACTTTCCGAGGTCTTCAAAATATAAGTTTAACGATACTTATTGTTTCGTTTAGCGTGAGCGCTTCATCGGCAACAAGTGTGATGTCGGTGGCGGGCGATGAAGCAATTCGGCGACTCGAAGAAGAACTAAAAATGGTAGGCTTTCAAGAAAAGGTCAAGCATACAAAACTTTCTTTTAGACACGACTGGCTCTACTGGAAAAAGAGGAACGATGCTCTCGGCTTTCTTCTATGCAGACTACAGTTGATACGGAAGTTCACGAATTGACCGAGAAGCTCTTTCAGGTGTGTTTCAAGTTCGATAAGCCCACTTTTTACATTAATTTTTGAAGCTCAATTATTTAGGAAGCCTATAAGATGGTCAATCTCGCCGAAGAACGAAAAGAGAAAGCAGAAAAGTTGTTGAAAGAAAGTCGCATGAAGGCAAGTTTTGATTTGTAGTCAAATGTTCCAAAAGTAAATAGGTAAATATCGAAGCACAGCATTTTTCGTATGTTTCTATTTTCTAAGTTCAGGTAGACGTCCTGCAAGCCGAGGTGGAAGCTTTGAAGCTGCTGGTTAGCACTCCCGGAGCCGGCGGCCAACACCACACAAATCACACGAGCGGCAAGGGGAAGCCAAGTGTTTTCTCAAAGCTACTCAACAATTGTAAGTGTTATTAGTGCATTAAGCTGGGATAAAATTTATACTTTTAATTTTAAACCTTAAATCAAGCCTTATCATTAGTTCAATCAATCTATAGGGGTTTCTCGAGCGTTCACACCAGCAGAAAAGACAGATTTACCGTCAACTGGTAAAGGAATATATTTGGAATAGATTTTGTTTCGTTTTCTAATCAAAGTACCAGTGATTCGTGGAGATTTCGATGATTTGAAATTGTGTATTGTCCCAAGAGATATTGTAGTCTCGTTTTTCTTGAGTCACGTACACATATAGTTTGCACATTTGTAAATTCGATTCAAATATTGATTTGTCATTTTAGCAAGCACCCCGTCTCATCACAAGAAAAGCTGGCAAAATGATGGGAATGTTCCGATGTCGAAGAAATCACAAAGTTTGCCGACGACGATCCGAGAACAACAGGAACGGGCAATTGATGAAGCGGAAAATACGGAAGAGGTGAGTAGAGTTTAGATTTTAGAATCTAATAATCAGTCGGATTAATTAAAAAAATTCTATAGGTCTTATGATTTGGGCAAAGTGATATTTTTTGCATTTAGATCGATCCTGTTTTCTACCGAGAATTCGTCGAGTGGCGAGATGCGGGCCACCCCCTTTCATGGCCATCCGATTCGTCAAGTACGCCCACAACAAGCAATGCGCCCTCGCAAAACAACAACAACTTCATTTGCCGAATTCAACGTGAAGAGGTCGATCCGTGTATGTCTTTCGACAATACAGAGGTTAGTATATTTTTAAAGTTTATTCAAAAGTTTGTAGCAAGGGTTATGTTCTGATTTTCAGCTTGCCACTAGTTTAATAACGGCGATTCGCGGGAATTGCATCGAAATCGAGCCGGTAAACGAGGAGAAACCATCAGTCAGGTATTTGACTGTGTTGATATTGATCTTTTTTCGTGCAAACGCATTTATAGCCTACATTAATAAATTTAGGAACTGTGCTCTCACGGCGGTGCCTCGTTTTTGTCCGTTTCGAGCGCGTGCTTCCCCGGATGATGAGTGGCATTTCATCTCAGTGTTGTCGAGAAATCGGGTATGATTATGGACGAAATATCAATTTGGTAAAGTATTGAAATATGATACTAGAAGTAACCATAGTTTGATTTACACTAAATTATCCATTACCAATCCCAGTATTACCTAATTGTTATTTTCAGATAGCTGCCGTTTGCGACTTCCACACGTATCTTCGCTACGTATCACTAGGAATCGTTCGTTCGGGCATTCGTGACACCTACTTTGATGTGATCGCTCTTCGCAAGAACATGGCTCTCGCTCGATTAGGACTCGGTTTTATCCCCAAGACGACGGATCAACGAAATTGCTGAATCTACCGGTAGTGTTTATCTTTTATCCTCACCCTTTTACATTCCCAGTAAAGTTAATCTAATGCTTTATCATAGTCGATTTGTAATTTTCACGTGTCCTTGTTTGAAAAACGTGTGATTTAAGCTATCAGTGCTAATCAGTTCAACCATTTCCCCTTCGTTTGTAGATCATTCTAATCTTTTTGAACAAACAAATTTTGTGTCTTTCCCTCGTTCCTTTTGTACCTGTACTTCCAAGCTCCCAATGATTTTTCTGGTGCTATATTTAGGTATTTGTTTTTCTGTGTGTGCATATTTTTATTCTGTCGATTCTATGGATAAGAAGTAAATATTGAATACCATTAAATTATTTATTCGATAACCACAGATTATTACTTTTTCATTTAGAAGCCAAGCTTGCTCACACCACGCGTTAGTGAAGTGATCTGAACATAAGAAAATATAAGTTAGTCTGTAATTCTTACCGCTCCTACAAAAACTTCCGTCAGATTTTCTTTGATAGCACTCGTGGTCTAAAATGTTTGCTTAGTAACTAGAGTTGTAGTGAAAGATTACCCTTGTAAGATAATTCGATTGTTCTCGATCCTCTTCAACGAGAATTTGATGATATGGATGTCTCCGTCGATACTCATTCCACGCATTTTGCCATTTTGCCACGCCGCGAACACCCCAGCCGAGACGGCGCAACATGCGGCAATCGGCCTTCTAAAGAAGAAATAAAATAGGGTTATCAAAAATAGCTTTTTATGTACTCAAAAGCAACCTTAACGCATCGCTTAAATGGACGTTCTCGTGAGACAAAAGCTGCAGCTGACGAGATAAACGCCACCTCATCGTCTCGAAGAATTGGCGTGCTAAACAAAAAATAAAAGCCCTCTAATGATAACTTACCCATCAACAGTTGAATCGACTTCCAACAAAGAAACGATGCCAAATGTGGTGTCGGCTGTGGCTGGGCTGCTTGACCCTAAAAAAGAACGATAATCGGATTGCATAAGCTCAATTAAAATAACAATCGAAAACTTTACCTGACGTTGAATTGCTCGAATTTTCATCATCGCGGTTATCCTCTCCGTTTTCGTCATCGGGATGAGAAGATGGGTAAGTTGCAATGGAGGGTGAGGCGCGATGAGTAGCTCTATCAGAATCTTTGAGATCGGTTCTAAAAATAACCAGCAAGTCAAGCAAGAGATTGATACAATAGATGAAATTTTGACAATTTTAAAAGCTTTAAAAGCAATTTTAAAGCTACAAAATTGTTGCAAAACACTAAAGCTGTTCGTAAACTGGACTAAAGGTAAAACGAACGAGTCCCGGATGAGATCCACCTCGAGGAGCTTCGAGGAGCTTCCAATGAGAGGACCCGGCACCATTAGGTTCATCGCTTCGACACAATTTTCAGCCTAAACATAAAAAATTAATGAAACAACGTGCAATGATTAAAGCCTTAAACATGTGACCTAAACACCGAATGTCAAAATGATTAAATTTACGAAGCAAATGCCATTAAGTATGCTTATTTTTGCCACACAAGCAAGCAGCAGGCTTATTTTTACCACTGGTGTCGTTAAAAACATGTTAAACACGTTGTCTAGTTATAAAAGCAGCAAATAAAAAGTTAAAACCTGTGCAAGGTCGGCGTTTGAGAGAACTTTTCCCGTATTCATCGTTAGACGTTTCTAAAAACAGACATTTTTACAGAAATCAACGCATAAACAATAGCAAACTCAACAAAAATGATTAATTTTATTTTTTTTGTCAACAGACCTAGTCGAATTTGTTTATTCGATCAGATAAAAAGGTAAAAACTTTCTATAAAACCTAAAAATGGGGTAGGTTAATTTCCGCCATTTTAGTTGCGCAATTCACCATAACTTTCTTCTAAGTCTCTCCAATCTTTATGATTTTGGTCTCATTTTTTTGCACTTATTGAGATTTACAAAATGACACCAAAATCATAAAGATTGGCCCACTTAGAAGAAAGTTATGGCGAGTTGCGCAAAAGACCCAGTTACGCAAATGATCCTGTTGCGTAAATAAAATGGCGGAAATTAGATCTACCCCCTAAAAGCCTTACAGAAAACATAATAAACTCACCAAATAATTTCGTAATTTAAAGAGTTTCTGCGCGAATTGCCCACACAACGATTGGCAGCCGAATCACTTAAATGACGCGTAGAAAAATGAGAAAATTTCGGAGTCCGTTTTGCATAAACTGTTTTTCAATGCAAATTTTGGGTATAAATGCCGAGTGCCCCCCTCCTGTGTCTCCTTTTTGTGCCCTTAGTTTTCCCCCGGGGGACACCTGTCTATTTTTTTTCATTTTTTCAACATTTTCAACATTTTTGACTGTTTTACTCAAATTTAGTAATGTGTTAGGGTTTTTTTGTTTTTTGAGTATATTTGCGTAAGTCACGTCCAATCAAAACGCTTGCAGCTCAGGCCATACGCCCTTTTTGCCTACTTTTTTGGCCTTGTTTCGAACTTTTTCAATACCAATCGCGTTTTTAACTGCAGCGCAGCCAAAATTACTTCCGATAAAATCGTTTTATGACAAAATACTCTCGAAATACCGCGCTTAGACATATTTTGTGTAAAAGATGGCGCGGTACTACGACAGTTGGGGGGAGGGCAATTTTTTCTCTTCAAAAGTGCTTTTTCTAGGGCAGTTTTTTTTTGCGTAGATTACGAATTTCATAGTGTTTACGATGAGGTTGATTTGGACAATGGACGCTATTGACGTTGAAACCTGATGTTTTTGAAATTATATGCTGTTTTGTTGTTTCATTTTTTCTTATTTTCATGTTAAACGTGGTATTTTACTAATAAAATGTTGTAAAAAACTCCTCGATTCTAATCTTAGCTGATTTTAGTCAATTTCTTGCTTTTGGCACATTCTGGCGTTTTGGATGAATTGTTTCGAAAGTAGAAAACAATTCTAAAGTGCAAAAACCAACAAAAATCTTCAAAAAATAGGGGGACACTAGGGGGAGTGAGCCGTTCATTGCTGAGATGTGATGTTAAAGAAGCTGAAGGAGGGTGCAAAAGGTTTCCTGATGGATTCGCGTTAAATTCAATTCAATACCCGCGTTCAAGATCCGAGAGAAGTTAAACAAGGTATGATTTACTATTGATTGAAAATGCTGAAAATGCTATTCTTAGGTGATCAATTCGAGGCCGAGATTCAAGAGTGCAAGCAAGTGATTTTCTTTGAGGCTACTAACTACTAAGAAACGCTTATTAAACGTCTCCTCTTGCGGGCAAAAATGAGGTATTTTTGATTTTTAAACAACCGTTAACTGTTTAGTTTTTAATGATTTAATTGTTTGTTATTACCAAGATAACAAAAGGGTTCTACAAATAGTTCAAAAATGTTCACTATTTAGACGGCCATTGACGACAACATCGAAACGATTGCGCACGTTTGAAAACGTTCAACACCGCGACGGCGCCCGTCGTTGCCCATTACGAGAAAAGGAAGAAATTCGTGAAAGCTGGTGAATTTTGGATATAACTAACTTTTTTGTTCAGATCAACGCCAAGCAAGGAGTGGATACGATTTTTGCCGAAGTTTGTCTTCATATCGATGGCTTCATGAAGGATGGTGGTGGTGGTTTAGCCTTTGCTCGACCTCCTACGTGCCCCGTTTCAGCTGCTCATGTTGTGTCATCCGATAATTCATAATTTTATTCTACAATTTTAGGCTATTGTTAGGTCAAAATCAGCTAATCATCGTGTGTTCAGGTAATCGAATTGGGTGAAGATCACGGGCACTCACGCATCAGCCGTCAGCCGACATCACTTTCAAGACGATCAATCAAAAGGCAAAGATCACTCATCCACTGAGCGCTACTTAAACGGCGTGAGTCGATCGGTCGTTCATCTACATTTCCTACTCCATCTTCTTGCGTACCTTTTCTGATATCTTTCAATTTTTCTGATACTTGTGAATGTGTAAAAACTCGTCGTTTCCTAATAAATATTCAGTTTAGTCGTTTCTTTATCCAATTCTGTCTTTAGCATTATTTATTTCTTTCAAATAGTTTTCCTATTTACACTTTTGGCACAAATTCGAACAGAAAAAAAAAATCAAATAAATGGCATCTGAAAATGATATGTTTCTAAGAAAACGGCTTTGTTCAATCTCACAAAATGACTAGATTAGAAAAGTGGCAAGAAAAATGAAGGAAAATTGCAATGAGATTCAATGAAATGAGCTGGGTTTATAGGAAATTTGATACCTGAAAAAAATTGTGTTGAAAATCATTTTCCTGGAATCTCTCGTTGAACTTCTTGATTTGAATTGATGTTCGTGAGCTTCAAAAAATTCATTAAAACTGTGAAAAACTAATTGTTTTAGTCCTTTTTGAGTTGACTTTTCAAATCAAATTTCGGAACACATCACTTCTGGTGCACTGAAAGCTTCGTTTTCAACGACAGGGATTCGGCACTGAATGCTTCGTTTTCAACGACATGGATTCGGTGCACCAGAAAGGGTGCATTTGCAAAAATGAGCACAAAGCACATACTTTTATTTTGGCAATTTTATTTATAAATGTTTTACAAAAACAGAAACGCTTCACAGTTTTTTTGACGCAATATAGAAAACTCTTTACTCTCACATTTTTTTTTACAATAAAACGAGAATAACGATACGGCGACAATACAAATTGAATAAAGAAACATTGAAAAAAAAAAAAAAAGATGACAAATATAGAAAAACGGATTGAGCAACTGTTTCAGACACATTGAATTCGAGAAAAAGGACAAAAATGACAGAAATGACAGCTTTTCTAAAGTAATCTAGGATTACGGTGACGTACCCTAGCTTACGCTAGCTTTTGTTTAGCTTGTTTACGGCGAATACGGCAACATATCGGCAAGAAAAGCACACAAAAAAATAAGCCATTCCCCAGTGCCATAGGTGGCTGTTGTTTACACATAAATAACGAAAAGAAATGTTCTTTTTTTTGGCAAGAAAAGCTTTTGATGGAGAGAAAATCTTCGACAAGAAGTGCTTACATAGAGAAAAGAATTGAAATTTTTGCTTTTTTAGATGAAAAAGCGGCAAGATTTGATAGATAAACAGATGAAAACTTAAGAATTGACATTTACCGCATTTCTTCGAATAGAAGACCAGGTAAAGAGTATGATCGCGTACTCCTGCGTAGCAGTACTCCCTTTTTACTCCCTTTTTAAAATTTCTTTTCTGCATAAAAGCTTTCAATCAAGTGCTATAGGGCTGGAAAATGGCTCAAAAATCTGTTAGTGAATGTGGTATTTTTGAGTCATTTTCCAGCTCTATAGCACTTCATTGAAAGCTTTTATGCAGAAAAGAAATTTTAAAAAGGGCTGCTACGCAGGAGTGACTACGAGATGATACTCTTTACCCGGGCTTCTATTCGAAGAAATACAGTAAACAGATGAAAACTTAAGAATTGACATTTAGAAATAAAAACTGTATACAAAAAAAATCAGTTCTTCGTGTATTTTGGTGCTTCGTGTATTTTTGTAAACGCATCCATTCTGGCGCACTGAATTTTCTCCATTTTCTTGGAATAATTCGGTTTCTCGAAGACCGAAGAAAATTTGAAGAATTCACTGTGCCAGAAACGGTACGTAAACATCAGCACAAAGTACATCAACTTGGTGAACTTTCGGCTTTTTTTTTCTTGTAAACTTATTCTTTCTGGTGCACTTTTCTCGTGAATTTAAATCGTTGCCACAAGAAATTCGAAGAATTCAGTGCACTAGAAAGGGTTTGTTTACAAGAAAAGAGCACATAAAGTACATAAAGGGACAAAATGGCTAAAAACTGAAGAAAAAAAACATCGAATGAAATAGAGGACAATGAAGTTTACATTACAATGATTACAAAAACAAAAACTACGGACATACAGTAAAATTATTTTTCTAATAAATACGGGAGTGGGACAAATGCGACCTTTTTTTTGCGTATCCGGACATTTGCGCACCTTTTTTTCCGCACCTGGCCTATTAGCGCACCTTTTTTCGCGTTTTAAAAAGCTCTAAAAAGCTAATATTAACCAATTTCTATTCCAAAAGTTGTTTTTCTAGGTAATTTTAGGGCGTTGAATCGAAATTTCGACATATCAGAGCTTGTGGAACCAATTTGAAAGACAAAACGGCTAGATCAAATTAAAGAAAATTATCGATTTTTCTCTTTGTATAACTCCGTCCGTTTGTTTCCACAAGCTCTGATTTGCCAAAATTTCGATTCTACGCCCTAAAATTACCTAGAAAAACAACTTTTGGAATAGAAATTGGTTAATATTAGCTTTTTAGAGCTTTTTAAAAACGCAAAGAAGGTGCGCTAATGGGCCAGGTGCGGAAAAAAAGGTGCGCAAATGTCCGGGTGCGCAAAAAAAAGGTCGCATTTGTCCCACTCCGTATAAATACATAATTATTTATAGATTTTTTTTATGGTCACCTTTTAGAAATCAGCATATTTTTTTACACTGCAACTCCGCCTGGTCCCATCGTATACGGTTTCGATTTGGAGCTTTTCAGTTGAACCTAGAAATTTGCATTTAAGATTTTTAGATACTTAACGTAGACATGGGAAAATTCCAACCGAAACCTAATTCCACCTTCGTTTTCTCAGCCGTCTCTTTGGTCGATTGTTCTGAAATTTTGTTTACAAATAGAAATTAGCATTCTCTGCTTGTAAACAAAATTTCCGAACAATCGACCAAGAGACGGCTGAGAAAACGAAGGTGGAATTAGGTTTCGGTTGGAATTTTCCCATGTCTACTTAACTTCCTCTCAGGTAAGAGAGAACAAGTGCATTATGGTTTAATTGTTAGCACAGTTGTCTGGTAACCGAAAGATCACCGGTTCGAGTCCGGGCGAAGCATCACCTATTTCCCTTGCTTCCTGATCCCTTGATCTACCCTATTTCCAAATACATATTTCTTTTATGCACCAGAAAAGATGCTTTTCCAAAAAGTGAGCACAAAGTACACTAAATTAGGGAAATTTCTTTTACCTTTAGCCGCTTGCTTCCAATTTGAAAGCCGTTCATTGCTGAGATTGCGTTCGCTGCTGAGATGTGATTGTCGAAGGAGACAAAGCCTGGAAATCACATTGATTCTTGATTGATTTTTGCGAGAAATTTACAGCAGATAAGAATTCTAATCGATTTAACCGTTTTTACTTACCAAAACACTTGCTGAGATTCGTTTGTTTATCGATGAAAACCTTCGCCGAGACGATCGAGCCAAAGGGGCTGAATGTGGTCACCAAGTCGGCATCTGTGAAGTCCTGAAGGGATTTTTAAAGCCATGAAAAACTTTTTGGTTTTGCCTTCTTTCTTTCTTTCTTACTTCCTCTCTTCTTCCCCCTTGTCTTCCCCTTTTTCTCTTCACAAGTTAAGGCAGCAGATAGCTCAGTGGTTAGAGCAAAAGCAAAATCGCCTCTCTGTTGTCGAGGGTTCAATCCCCAATCTACTTTTTCCTGCCAATTCTTTGCTTTATTAGTACAAAGCCTAATGCAGTACTCCCAGGGGTTGGATTGTTCCGTTTTTCCATGGTAGCCATGGTTCTAGAGTCTGCAAGTTTTGCCAGCCAAGGTCAGGCCAGGGATGACTTCCAGACGTTGGACTGGATTGTCTAATTTAGTCTGAATGAGATTTTAATGGCCAGGACAATGAGGCCAGGACACTCATTGTCCTTGCCATTAAAATCTCATCCAGACTAAATTAGACAATGGCCTCTGGGCTGACTTACAAGCCCTAGACTCAGTTAGAGCTTTGCCTCCGAACTTGGATGCAACAAACTTTAACTGGATCTACAGTATTCGATAGTACTCTTATAAGCTTAAATTTTCTGTATTCAATCGATACTGACTTGTGGTAAATGATAGATGAATAAATTGCCCCCATCGGGTCCTTTCGTTTGCCCGTTGCCGACCACTTGCGGATTGGCGGCCGGGGCTGCAGCTGCCAATTGAGTCACTGAAATATTCGAATATAGTTTAAAGATAGAAATAGAGATAATTTTAGCATTAGTGGTGAATAATATTCTTTTTATAAAAAAGTGCTCCCGTTTTAAAGCGTTTGAAATAAGAAAAAAGTGCAGAAAAAGTTTGTTTCTACAAAAGTGGTGATTGACTTTTAAAATTTTAAAAGCCTAATTGAAAGCTAGGCTCACGATAATCAAAGGATTACGGTCTAAAGTTTGCATTTAAACGGCTACAGTAACCCTAGGTAGTTTTGTCTAGAAATTAGCATACAAAGAAGTACAGTAACTACGGCTTTAGAAATTAGCATTTAAATCTCACTAAAACTCCATTGAATTTAAATTACATGAAACTCTAACATTTAAAAGCTACAGCTACAGTAACCCGTCTGAGTAATTAGCTTAGGAATTAGCATTGAATTTAAGAGCTGCAGTAACTTACAGCAGTAACTGCAGTAATTAAAGAGCTGCAATAACTTACAGCAGTAACTGCAGTAATTAAAGAGCTGCAATAACTTACAGCAGTAACTGCAGTAGTTAAAGAGCTGCAGTAACTTACAGCAGTAACTGCAGTAGTTAAAGAGCTGCAGTAACTTACAGCAGTAACTGCAGTAATTAAAGAGCTGCAATAACTCGAGTAAGACAAAAAGATAAAAGAAGCTAATTAACGTCAGAAATATGGCTTGCTTACAATCTAATAAAGCAAATAATATCTAAATCCAAAAAAATAATAGAAAAATCCCGTACAGGCGGCATGTTGTTCGGCGGCAGCGGCAGAGAGAGCAGCTTGATAGAAAGCATCGGGTGAGGTGATCGGCTGGTAGACACATTGTGGAGCACCGGTCAGGGAAACTGAGAATGGTGAATTGTTGAGGAGTGGATGATGGGTGGATGGTGGAAGGGAAGGCGATTGGCCACCTTTCGAGTGAGACGAGGAAGAGCCTGTGAAATTCGAAGGATTAAAGACAGTAAAGTTGAAGGGGGAGAGGTGGAAAAGCAAAGGACCTCTATGCACAAGTGGTTAGCGATGTAGCTAGCGTGTTTTCCTCTTAAACAAATGATTATTTGAATAGATTTACTTAAATAGTTTGTCTATTTGAATAACGCGTTAAATAAAGGTTAAATAAACATTAAATAAAGCATTCGAAAAAAGCGCTTTAAAATTGAAGCAAATTGCGAAGATTCTGTTTCGTTTTATAGAAAACTTTCTTAAAAAAGATATTCAGTCAAACGACTGAATAGCTTTTAAAGCTATATATCAAAGGGGTCTCAAGATTTTTTGCCATTTTTTCTTTTTTTTCTTTTATCGAGATTTTTTTGTGCTATTTTTCTAGAGATTTGTTAAATAATATGTAAAAAATTACAATACTTTTTTATTAATAGTGTTTTAAGAATGTTTGATTCAAGAAGAAAACACTTTAGATGTAACTAATCTAAGGGGGTGGGACAAATGCGACCTTTTTTTTGCGCACCTGGACATTTGCGCACCTTTTTTTGCTGGAAAAGGCCGTAGAGCTTCGAAAATATTTCCACATAAGGGAATCGTATGCGTAGATTCCGGATTTCGACAAATCAGACCTCGCTGACACGTCAAATTTGGGCTAAAAGGCAAAAACCGCGGAAAAGCGTTAAGTTGCGTAGTTTTTGCCTTTTAGCCCAAATTTGACGTGTCAGCGAGGTCTGATTTGTCGAAATTCGGAATCTACGCATACGATTCCCTTATATAGAAATATTTTCGAAGCTCTACGGCCTTTCTCCTAAGGTCTTTTCCAGCAAAAAAAGGTGCGCAAAAAAAAGGTCGCATTTGTCCCACCCCCCTAATCTAACAATAAGATTCATGCTCGGCTAGACTCAAAAGAAAAGCTCAACTGATTGAGTCAGCCAAACTCTGTGTATTTTGTTTCTTGTTTCTTATTTCATAACATATTTCTTGTTGTCACACTTTTATAAAGCTTTTTTTACACCCTTATAGTCAGCACTTCTTGAAAAGAAGCAAAAGAAAAAGCCAAAGCGGGGATCGATCGAATCGATCGAACGTGGAAACGAACGTTGTACGAACGAACGCTGTAATTGGCCATTAAGACCGCTAATATGCCGCTAAGACCCAAATGACTAATTTTCAGAGTCCTAACAAAACTTTAGACGCTTGTAACTCTTGGTAGATTGTCATTTAGCAAAATGAAATATATATTCGGAATCAGCATCAAATTCTGCGTCGAATGGTTTAGATTGCATAGCATTTGACCAGCTCACTTCTCTTGTCATTCATCTGATTCTAGTCCTTTTCAGTTATGTTTAAGCTAGCATTAAAGGTCACAATTTAAAAATGGCCTACATAATACCACTTTCCGTTTGCTTCTCCACCTCAAGTGTTCTCAAAGAAAATAAGCCATGAAGCTGTTAATCCCTGCAGGTGTTAGGTGATGTTAAAAGGTTGCAGAAAATGAGAAAATGATTAAAATCATGCTAACGGAAATTCTCCAAAAACTTGATACCATTTTGTGTGGCAGGAGCTCCAGCGAAAGCGGCATAGCCAAACATATTGCGACCATCCATCGCTAATTGGGGTTGAGTGGGCGGTTGAACGGCGAGCGCTTGGGCAAAAGCCATCTAAAAAGGAAAAAGATGAGAGATCAGTTTCGAAAGTTTCTTTAAAAGTTGAACTTTTAGTCCTAGATTGCTACAAGAGTATAGAGTTGACTAATCCAGAAAACTTTCAGCTTTTCACCATGAGCATTTTGGATGATTATCTAAGCTTTACAGGCTCATTTTTTTCTTATCTTTCTATATTTTATATTTTTATAGAGGAAAGTTTAGACTTTCAAAATGATACTAAATAGAGCTTTATTCTAAAGAAAATCAAGAGAAAAAGAGACTTCGAAAGAAAATGAAGAGACTGAGAATGGCTAGTCTAAAGAAGCTCTATTTATTATCAAGAGAAAAGCTTTCTTCTACAAAACTATAGATGAATTTAGCAATAATAGACTTTAGATAAAGTTATTGAGATTGATTGAGTGAGAATGAATATGGGTTGATATGAGAGTTGATTGAGAATGATTTTGTGCTTACTTGTGGGATCATTGGTTGTTGTTGTTGGGCACCAAATGGCATCTGAGAGACGGCGGAGAGTTGCTGGCCAAGGAGGGCTGCTAGAAAGTGAAATTTTCATATAAAGTGTTTGAAAATCTAGCGTTATATCCAAAGATTTGCATCTTTAAGCATTAGATTACATTAGATTACATAGATGTTCCAAAAAGCTATCAGAAAATAGCTTCTTTGACTAGAAGCTTTGACTAGAAATATAGATAGCTATTTGGCTATCTAGTTTTCTAGTCAAATAGCTATCTAGTTGGCTTTTAAAGTACAGATTTCTATTGACATTCTACCGTAATCCTTTTTCTAAACGTCGAGTAACCAAAGTAGATTGATCATCTTTTAGAAAAGCAATTTATTCTACCGTAATCTTTCTACCGTAATCCTTTTTCTAAACGTCGAATAATTCTATGATTTGTATGCAAATTTTTGAATATAATCAACTTTTGTTAAACGTTAAATAAGCTAAACTAAAAAGTGCAAAGATTGAGTGAAAAAAAAATGGAAATTTGGAAAGATTGAAAAATTAGGTAAGAAAAAAGAACTAGAAAAAGAAGACGAGACAAATTTGCATTTACAGTAACCAAGACCAAGTTACCGTAATCCGCCAAGCACCACCGTCACGAACAAATTGAAAAAAAAAAACTCAAAAATATCATTCCAACCACCGGACATTTACAAACGAACCAAGGAGTGAGAAAATTTGAAAAAAATGAAAAAACAGGCCGGTGAGAATGGGAAAACCGAAATGCAAAGGCGAAAAGCTTGACGACAACGAAAAGGCTTTTGATGGGGTGGCTGATGGAAATTAAGGTAAATGAAGACATTAAGGGTACTGTAGGGTATTGCTAACAACTAGAATGTTGGGCTCAAACTCGTTGATAGTACAGGAGACAGTGGTTGTAGCTAGCTGTAGGACCTAAGGCTTTGATGTAAGAGGAGTTAAGGGTACGGTACTGTGAGAGCTCCTAAGCCTGTTCAGGGTTTCAAATAGATTTCGAGCCTAAGCCAGGCCCTGTAGACAACAAATCGAACAGTAGAGTTCTGGCTGATGGGAATTTATGATGTTAACCAGCTGAAAGCTGAAAAACCCGGTTAAGAGCTGGTTTTTCTGGGTCGGAAACTCGTCGCCGTTGGCTCAGTCGGTAGGCCGCATTTCTACCACCCACACGATCGGGGTTCGACCCTCCGTCGTGCACCGAGCCTTGATCTTTTCATTTTTGATTTCACTTTTCATTCAAATGGCAAAACTTTATTAAATTCTAAGGTTTTCTATAGAAGTTTTAGCTTTATTGGTTAAAACACGGCTGAAAAAAAGACTGTGCGGATATCGTTCTTTATATAGTAGATACTATGCAAAGGAGCTCGCTTTAAAGTTCTTATACTGAGAGAACTTCTATATCTTTGAGTATCTTATCTGTCTAGCTCTATTAGAATACTGTAGCTGCAGTACTATAGCTGGAATAGTAGCTGGATTACTGTAGCTGTAGTCGTGTAGCTGGATTACTGTAGCTGTAGTAGTGTATTGGATTACTGTACTGTACAATTATGTACTGGGTTACTGTAAGGGTTACTGTAAGGGTTAGAGAATCGATGCCTCAAGCCAGCCCTATGTTTTCTGGGATACTGTAGCTGAAACTAGAATCTATTCCTGAAAGTCTTAAGCTGATACAAGCTTAGATGTACGAGAATGTTTCTTGGATACGCAGCTTCTAAAAGCTGATCATTCTATCCCCATTTCAGCCACCCCAATCCCTTTCTTTCACCACACAATTCGAGCGCGCTCACCGGACTGCGGATCGAGACTCTGTGACTGTTGGGTTACAGTAGCCGAAGAGCCAGTAGGACCCTGGGCACCCTGTCCGCTCTCGGCCAATCGAGAGAGACCCGTCAAGACTGGAAATCATCAAACGATGAGTTCAAGAAAGAATTGTTCAATAGTTTTATTCAGTTTTCTTTGCTTACTTACCATTTCCAAGTAAACTCAGAACGTTCGGTTGTGCGCCGGCTTGGGGCGGTTGGAGAAGAGCGGCGAGGGTTTGCAAGGCTTGAAGTTGATTGGCTGCTTGGCCTGCATTGTTTAACTAAATTGAAAAAAGTTTAAAAAGGTTACAGTAGTACTATAGTAGGATTACGGTAGCTCGGTTTAGCTAGAGTCAGCCGGACAAAAGTCTCAAGTGAATGTACTTTGTGAAAAATTTTTAAAGGTCTTTTTAGGTTCTTTGGATTTTTCTTTTTTGCAATCGCCAAAGAAAAGCAGACTTGAGTGCGCGAGAAAGGGTTTGTTTAAGCATTTGAGCTTTGAGCTTTGAGCTTTTCGTTTGAGCACAAAGTACAGAGCTTTCAACTCCAAACCTGTCCAAATAGTGCATTGTGTTGCAGGGTTGCTGGACTGACAGCATCGTGTGGACTTGGCTGTTGTTGGGGTTGTTTCCCTTTTCCGTCTTTCTCTCTCGTCGTGTCAGCAAATTTGCATACGATTGGTGAGTTGCAACCCTGGAATCTTGGATTTAGATTTAGAAATATTGCTTTGATCAACTCAAAAACTGGAACAATCTCTTTGATCTCGTTGATCAACTCACAAACTGGAACAATCTTTTTGATCTCTTTGATCAACTCAAAAACTGGAACAATAGATCAGGACCAATATTTAAAAAGACTGTAAAAGACAAAAGACTTTTTGTGAACTCAGAGAAATATAGAGAAAAAGCTAGACAAAGCAGTTCGATTTCATTTCATTTTCTAGAACAATCAGAAATATTTATCGTAACTTTACCGTTTACCGTTTACCGTTAACCGTTAACCGTTTACCGTTTACCGTTTACCGTTTACCGTTAACCGTTTACCGTTTACCGTTAACCGTTAACCGTTAACCGTTTACCGTTAACCGTTAACCGTTTACCGTTTACCGTTAACCGTTAACCGTTTACCGTTTACCGTTTACCGTTAACCGTTTACCGTTTAAACTTCCGTTTAAACGTTTAAACTTGTTCTCCTTCTTGCTCTTGGTGAAGGAATCTTTCTAATCAATTACTTATCTCAGTTTAAAGTAGTTTAAATCTTAAGAAGTATCATTTGACTTCCTTATTTTGCTCTCCACTACCTCCATTGTAATCGAGTGATGCATGGCTTTGATTGCAGTCTGTGCACAACTTCTCGAGGACAGAGTCACAAAGGCACATCCTGCAAAAGACAGTGAGGAAAAAAGAGAGAGAGAAACATATAGACATAGAAGAGTTTTCATCCAGAAATAAATCTCCATCTTCTAAAAGGCATTAAAACTATCGTAATCAACTGCCAATCAACTGCCAATGTCAATTCGATCAATCCAATTCGATGAAAGAGAGAGAGGTTTAGTCAATAATCTCAAAATTGAGCTGATTGAATAAAACTGGCTGCTGATTACGGTAGTTTTACTGCCATTTAAGAAACAGATTAGTCAATTGGTCAATTGTCTAATTGTCTAACTGGTCAATTGTTCAATTGTCTATTTGTCCAATTGTTCAATTGCTCAATTCTCCAATTCTCCAATTGTTCAATTGTCCCCAAAAATAATAAACTTTCGAAGTCTGGCGCTGATCTCGAGAAAGCGGTAAACTAGACACCAAATCTCTACAAAATTTTGGAGTTTTTGAGATCAAAACTGGATTTAGGCTTGCTTATTGATATTATCGATACAAACAGCATGCTCATGTTTAACTATTCAGATCTCCATTTCTAGAAAAGCTATCAATCTAGAACAGAAATCAATGTTTCATTAGAAAGTCAAGAATGTCAGCTTTTGATTGCCATTAGCGACTTTTAATGAGAAAGCACCTCATAAACTTTATCGATATCAAAAGTATCGATTATCGACAAGCTAAGTATCGATAAGTATTGATATTTATGTGGCGTTCAACAATGAGAATTTGCTATGTTTGAGATAGCAATCAAAAGCTCACATTCTTGGCTTTCTAATGAAACAATTTTCAGAATGATAGCTGTTCTAGAAATGGAGATTTGAACGGTTAAACGTGAGCATGCCGTTTGTATCGATAATATCAATAAGAAAGTCTAGCTGGATTTATTTACATAGAAACAAGTAAGCTTCTGTGAAAAAAAGCCGACAAAAATTTTCGATATCACTAAAATTTCACAAATAAACATCGATTACAGAATCTTTTTTTACAAAATTGTTTAGAAAAAACGAACCTTTACTCCTTCCATCGTTGTCCCGTAAGACTGTGCACTCTTCGATGTGACCGAATTGATGAAACATCTCTTTCACGTCCTCTTCACTCAACTTTTTTGAAATCATCCCAACAAAAAGCTTTCGCTCTGAAAATGTTGTTTATGAGAAAAAGAAAAGAAAAAAGAGCCGGGATTGAACCCTAGACCTATCGACTTAGATACAGGACTCTTAACCAGTCGGCCATAACACCTAGAACGAATAATTGAGTATAGAAATAGCGACCATTCACAGGAGTACCCTTGTAGTTTCTAGTTAGCTTTTTGAAAGTTTAACCGTTAGTTTAGCCTTACACTGATTCCTAGCAAGTATCTTTCTAACAAAAAATCTACCATTACCCAATATAGATCATCATCTTTAACCGTGTCTCAACATCGAACTATCCGAGCTACAGTAATAGGCACCAATTGATATACTATGCTATGCTATGCTATACTATACTATGCTATACTATGCTATGCTATGCTATGCTATGCTTTGCTATGCTTTGCTATGCTATACTATGCTATGCTACGTTTTTGCGAACTAGATATTTGATAATTTAAACTGTTTTGTTTTTGAAACGTTTCTTTGTAAAATAATAATGAAGTGAAGGAATTGACAAGAGAAAGTAGATTTTTGGGAGATGGAATTCAACCTTCCCGGACTTTCGGCGCAATTTCTCTAATCACTAAGCTATTGGGTACCTTGACTTGCTAAGAGAAAAAGGGGAATATAAGGGGGAAGAAGAAATGAAGAAAGGAAGAAAGAAAGGAAGAAAGGAAGGAAGGAAAGAAGGAAGAAAGGAAGGAAGGAAGGAAGGAAAGAAGGAAGAAAATATTTTAAAGTTAATGTTAAAGTTAAAAACTAACCATTTCGATTCTCGCTGTCGGCTGGTTTCATCTGTACAGGGTGATGCATTCCGGGAAGGACCTCAATGTTGTGCAGAGCTGCCTGCAACGTTTTGTTATTGATTCCTAGAGTCTTTAACTAGGTTTCTAATGCATTTGGGTAATTAAACCGGGTGCAAATATCGTAATTATTCAAGTATTCTCGGTTCAAAATTTACACATTACATTGTATTGTATTGGGGCCCAGAAAGGAAAGGGTCTGTGGTCGACCCCGTCCGATCTGCCAAGTTGAGCAACGTCGGCGTGGGTTAGTCGTGGGTTCGACTCCCATGGGTTCCCCTCCGAGCGCCCCAGCCCGGCCATCGGAGTATCATCGGCTACGACAACTACACTTCTGCCTCAGTAAATGTGGAAGCAGGTTGTGATCTGCGCTAAGTGCGAAGACAGATCAAATCATTATTATTTATTATTATTGTATTGTATTTTGTTTCAAAGTTTTTTTGAGTTTTCTCAGTGATGAGTGCATGAAATTTAATTCGATTTATTTCTATAGATGTTTTATAGATCTTCTGTAGATGCTCTGTAGATGTTTCTGTAGATGTTCTATAGATCTTCTATAGATGTTTATAGATGTTCTGTAGATCTTCTATAGATGTTTCTGTAAATGTTTCTATAGAAATCTACAAAAACATCTATAGAAACATTTACAGATCTTTTATAGATGTTTTGCAGATCTTCTATAGATGTTTCTATAGACGTTCTATAGATCTTCTGTAGATCTTCTGTAGATGTTCTATAGATCTTCTGTAGATCTTCTATAGATGTTTCTATAGACGTTCTGTAGATCTTCTGTGGATCTTCTATAGATCTTCTACAGATCTTCTGTAGATGTTTCTATAGACGTTCTATAGATCTATAGAAGATCTTCTATAGATCTTCTGTAGATCTTCTGTAGATCTTCTATAGATCTTCTGTAGATCTTCTATAGATCTTCTGTAGATCTTCTATAGATCTTCTGTAGATCTTCTATAGATCTTCTATAGATCTTTTATAGCTGTTTCATACCTGTACATGTTATAGTAAAAATTCAGAGATTTTACTTGAAAACTCACGATTTGATGGAACATTTTTGTCTTTTAGGTGAAAGGTTTTTGTCTTTTTTTGCCTCTCTTTATTTCTTCATCATTTTCGTGAATCTTTTATTAGAATATTTACGAGTAATCGTTTTTGTTTCAGGAAAAATAGTTGAGTAAATTGAAGGAGTAATTGAGTTGAGATGTGTATTACAAAACTGTGCTCTCACCTGTGCTCCAATAGCATCTTTTCGATGAAAAAACGTGACAAAACAGCATCCTTTACTTTGTTGTGTGGCTTTATCGCGAAGAACGTTCAACGTGTAGACTGGTCCATATTTTTCGAATAAATCCCGACATTCTGTCTCACCCCAAGCACGAGGAACCTAGAGTTTTTAAAAGTTTTAATCATTTATTATCAATCAATCAATCAATTAATCAATCAATCAATCAATTGAATAACTTTTAAAATGAAGATATTAACTATAAAATGAAGATATTAACTTTAAAATAAAGATATTAACTTTAAAATGAAGCTATTAACTTACAAATTGTTAAGCAAATTCAATGTTTATTCTAATTTTAAACTAATTTTAAACTAATTTTAAACTAATTGTTTTTTTTCTAATATCTAATTTAAAATCAATTTAAAATCGATTTAAAATCAAAATTTAAACGTATTTCAATCTCTTTATTTAGCTTAAATCTCGAAATTTACCCTTTCTTTTCTTTTTTTCTCTAATCTCAAAAAGCAATCAATGAAAATGGATGACTTCCTCAAATCCCTATGGATTAAGAAAAGTTTACGAGTATTCTAAAATCTTTAGGATCTTTAGAGTCTTTTCCTTTCTTTTAGAATCTCTTCATTTCTTTTAGAATCTCTTCATTTCTTTTAGAATCTCTTCATTTCTTTTAGAATCTCTTCATTTCTTTTAGAATCTCTTCATTTCTTTTAGAATCTCTTCATTTCTTTTAGAATATCTTCCTTTCTTTAGAACCTTTAGTTTTACCAGGATTAGATCTAAATTCGATTAGATTTATTGATGAGAATCAATTCTGAGAGAGAAATGAGAAGGGGGAATTCGATTATTTTTTTGGCAAAGGGCAATCCCTTCATTCTCTTGATGCTAAATAAAAACGAAATCTTGGCTCTAACGAATGTTAGTCTTGGCTGCTAATCTTCGCTACTTTAGTCAGTCAGAGAAAATGCGATAAAATAGATAAATCTTTAAAGAATTATCAAATTACATCTGAAATTGTAAACATTCTGGGGCACTGGTGCGCTCTAGTTTTGTTCACTCACTTGTCCAACGAACATCTTGATGGTGTCTCCATCTGGGTGATCTTGATGGGTTGATGGATCGCCCATCTCGGCTTGATCGATTGAGGGAGCGATTTTCTAGAAATTGGAAAGATTAGATTGACAAATAAATGAGGATTGACGAATAAACAAAGAAACAAGTAACGTAGCAAGTAACGTAAGAAACAAGTAACGCAAGCAAGTAACAAAGAAAGAAGTAACGTAGCAAGTTCAGAATTGATAAGTTCTAGAAAAAGACAAGGATGAGATAAATTTGTGAAAGAAAAGAAAGGTTCAGTAAGATTAGCAAGATCATCAGCAATTACTTTAGTTTTCTAGAAATGGGAAAGCAATCAGCAACAATTACTTTAGTTTTGAATGTTGATGGCAAAAAGGTGCAAAAATTTAAGAAATGGTCTGAGGTTGGGGTGAAAGAAGAAAAGAAAAGAAAAGAGAAGAGGAAGAGAAAGAGAAAGAGAAAGAGAAAGAGAAAGAGAAAGAGAAAGAGGAAGAGGAAAGAGAAAGAGGAAGAGAAAGAGAAAGAGGAAGAGAAAGAGAAAGAGGAAGAGGAAGAGCAAGAGGAAGAGAAAGTGAGAAGCATCTGGGTCGGCCATATTACAGCCGATTGGAAAGAAATGTGGAGAAAAGGGAAAAAGTGATCACCTCAAAACAAGCGATCGATTCAGCTCAAGGTACAGTAGTTTTAAATTCTATTGTACATTGATACTTGTACAATACAATACAATTTACGATTCACATTTTCAAGTACTTCTTTGAGTCAGAAAGTGAAGCAAAAAAGTAAAATGCCCAAAAACGCAATATTAGAATTTTAAAAAAGAGAATCTTTTAAAAAGAAAAATGAAATATTGTATAGAATATTTAAAAAATGAAGGATTAAATAATTAAACGTTTAAAAAGAATAAATCAATTATTCAAACTAATAATTGTCATTTTAAATTCAAAAGCAGATACTTTTCAAGCGATACATCAATAATTTCTATCATTAAAAGCGATACATCATTAAAACGATCGATTTAAATCAATGTACTGTAGTTAAAAGACATTCAGATTGATAACTAATCAATAATTTTCGTCATTAAAGCGATACATCATTAAAGCAATCGATTCAAATCAACATAAAGTAGTTAAAAGACATTCAGATTGATAACTAATCAATAATTTTCGCCATTAAAGCGATACATCATTAAAGCGATCGATTCAAATCAACGTAAAGTAGTTAAAAGACATTCAGATTGATAACTAATCAATAATTTCCATCATTAAAAGCGATACATCATTAAAGCAATCGATTTAAATCAACGTAAAGTAGTTAAATGTCATTCAACTTGATAACGAATCAATAATTTCCATTAATAAAAGCGATACATCAATAAAGCGATCGATTCAAATCAACGTAAAGTAGTTAAATGTCATTCAACTTGATAACGAATCAATAATTTCCAATAATTTCCAACAATTTCTTTATAAAGAAGAATTTCCCACGAAAATTGCCAAAAGCAAAACGAAGATAACAATTTTGGCGGGAAATTTTACTGAAAAATGCGACGAATTTTGTATAAAGTGTGGGAAAATTCGACAAGAAAATTCTGTTTTCAAAGAAAAAATCTATCTAGAAAAGTATCTAAAAGTATTAGAAAGAGAAAAATAACAAAAGTAATATCATCAATTAAGATTATTTGATAAAAGCACTTGGTGAAATCGATTTTCTTTACGGCATTCTTTGCCTTTTTCTGACCGAGTCAGCTGTTGGCCTTTTTGCGAAAGTTTGAGCGAATTGTGGCCTTTGAAATAAGTAGATTATCTAGAAATAAGTTAAATGAATACTTTTACACTGTGTAAATAAATATCTAGGCTTTAAAACTATCTATTTCTACAACTTGAAAGCCCAAAACAGCGCTGATCCTCCAGGCTTTATGTAGCTGATGATGAGATCTTTCAGGGGAATCGAGTGTTGAGCTTCTGGGGAAAATTTGGAAACCGTAAAATGGTGCTGAAACAGCGCTAGTTCTCCAGGCTCTATTCCCAGAAAATTCCCGGGAATTCGTTGAAAGAGTATTCCCAATTTTCCTGTACAAAGTATTCCCGCGGAGCTGGAACATTTCTGTGAAAAAACTCCGGATTTCGATTAAGTAAAAGCTAGAGTCATTATCATGAACATTGCCTAGTCTAGAAAGTCAGGCCATAACCTGCTCTTGAGATTTGGTTCTCAGTTCTCCCTGGCTTTAACCTGTGCAACACTACAAGTAAATCATCATCTAGATAGGCTAAAGTTAATCCAATGGTTTGTATTATTAAATTGGCAACTTGAAAGTTTGGTACACTTTTTCGTATTTCCCAGAAAACATATTCAATACGCCAATTTGAAATCGACTTCTCTAAATAAAAGTTTTCTATTATCTATTATCTATTATCTATTATCTATTATCTATTATCTATTATCTATTATCTATTATCTATTATCTATTATCTATTATCTATTATCTATTATCTATTACCTATTATCTATTATCTATTATCTAATTTAAGATATGCTTTAGCAAATTTAGGCAACTTTTGAAACGAATTTGAGCAGAAATTCAAGTTTTTCAAGAAAATTCTTCAAAAAAGAAGCATATAACTAAAGTAATTGGAGAAAAATCGAGCTGAGAATTCGAGAAATCGAGCTGAGAATTGTATGCCTAACTTTTGATGTTCCCTTTTGATGTATCTTTTTTCTATTAACATCAAAAGAGGTTTATGTGAAAGAAAGTGCTTAAATCGCTTTATCAAGTGTTCATCATTTTTGGTTCTTCAACTTTTTGCCCTCTAGAAACCTCCAAAAACGAAACTTCTCTAAAATCTGTCAAAAGCCAGGCCTTAGTGGATAAATAGACTATTAGTGAAATTAGATTATTGGCCTGGCATAGAGGATAAATAGATAAATAGATTAGTGAAAATTGTAGATTAATTGATGTACTAGTGCAATGATTTAATTGATTTCTAAAAAGTGCAATGAATAAGTGTAGCAATTTTCAATTCGCCAATCTAAATTCAATTCAATCTAATCATATCCAATCGAAACAAATTCCAAATTCCGCAAAAACATCTTAGAAGTTTCTAAAAAGTGCAATGAATAAGTGTAGCAATTTTCAATTTGCCCATCTAATAATATCCAATCGAAACAAATGTCGAATTCCAAAAAACATCTCAGAAAGGCGTTCCTAATCTGGCTCAAGGTTATTTGATGAGTAATTTGATAGAAATTTTTGTTGAAACGGGTGAAAAAAAAATGAAAAACATTGAAGAATGGGAGAATGACTAGGCAATGTGTGGAGGACATCACCGATTCTGCGAGAGAGGACCGATTTTTCGTTGGGGAAAAGGGTAAGGGCAGAGGAGGTTTATCTATTGCTTTTTTTGCCCAAAAACTCTAATAGATCTAAGTATTATAGATATTAGAGAAGGCTTGACAGAGCTTTTTTTCGAAAAACAAGGCATTGCAGTTGGTCAGATCTGCAAGAAGCCAAGCTAAGCTAGGTTTAAATTGGTCAGATGGCTTTTAGGCTAAAGAAATTTGCTTAAAAATTACATATTTCTAAGCCATAAGCATTATAGTTTAAAAACAGCTTAATAGCCGATTCTGAGAGGCGATTTTTGGGTTGAGGGCAAAAGGAAAAGGCTAAAGGCTCATCCATTGCCTTTTTTTTTTGGTCTTCTCATCCCTAAACCCATCCTTTATCTACATATTGGATATAAAAGAACTAGCTCTTTTCCCTAGCTGAATGAGTCGTGACTAGTATCACTCAAAGATTGACTGGTTTTTGCAGCACAAGTACAAAGTGAACAATGACTAGTCTAGAGTTGTTTAAACGGGGTTTTGGGTCTGTAAGCTAGATCAGGCGTAGGTCCAAGTCCAAGGCACAAGCCAATTTTAGATCCAAGTCTAAGTCTGCTAACTGGCCTAGGGTTTTTTATCCTAAGCTAGAGCCTAAGCCAGCCCTCGGGTCAGATCACATTTCGAAACCAGTCTACAATGCTCAGGCTCAGGCCTAGTCCTTAGGCAAGGCCAAGTTAAGGCTTAGACTCAGGCTTAGGCTTAGACTCAGGCTCAGGCTTAGGCTTAGGCTAAGGCTCAAGCTCAGAGTAAGATCCAGGATAAAGCAAGGCGAGAGCCTGGATTTCCTGGTCAAGTCTCGTCTTGTTCTTGTCTTGCCAATTCTACAGCAGCTCAGTAACTAGCTGATGCCAAGTATTATCTCTAGCTAGAGAAATCTTGAATGTCTCAAAGAATTGAAAGTCAAAAAAATTGGAACCCATATTCAGCTCGGTTGTTTTATGTTCTATAAATATGAACACGCGATATTGGGTAAGAAAATGGGTCTCTTTTTGGGGTGGAGTAGAATGGAATGGAGAGGTAAATGGTGAGGTAATGGGGTGTCATTCAGAGAAAACGGGTCGATAGAGAGCCACCTTTTTGGTCTCTAGATCGCTATTTGAGGGAAGTGTTCACGAGAATCGAGCTTATTATCTATCTTTACTGAAAAGGTTCGCATAAACACACCGTTTCTAACATATAAAGCTCTTTGTAAAGATGCACAATGTGTTTAAATGTAACCGCATCACATTTAGCATTTATTTTTTTGAGAAATAATGGGAAATTCTTAAACGAGAAGTGGTTTTTTTACAATTTTAAGTATAAAATTCTTTTTAAAAGTAGTAAAAAAGAGAAGTAAATTGAAAATGAAATTCTCTATTCTCCCCAAGGAAATACTTTATCGTTTTATGGTCAAAAAAAAAAGCGTTTTAGAAGGGGGGAATGAGATCTATCGGAGACTCATAAATGTTCTTTTTCGGTTGGGAAAGCGAAGAGGGAAAGCACCTATCTTAAAGCCTAAACTCTATCCAACTTCATAGCAAATAATTCATAGCAACTTCTACCACATACAGGGTGCGGCAAAAGTTTGGAGCCGCTTCTTAAGATAGTTAAAGGTTTAAAAAAAGCTTTAAAAAGTTTAAACTAGCTTTAAAAAGTTAAAAATGAATAACAAACTCTTTATTCGAATCATAAC